AGTAGTAGTAGTAGTAGTAGTAGTAGTAGTAGTAGTAGTAGTAGTAGTAGTAGTAGTAGTAGTAGTAGTAGTAGTAGTAGTAGTAGTAGTAGTAGATGTATCACAACTTAGCATAAAGTGGCAGATATAACAAGACAATAGACAAGTATGACATACAAGGCCTACAGCATCACCCACAGTACACATCATACGAGCCCTACAGCACAACACTCAATACACATAACGAGACAGATCAAACGAATCAAAATACAATACTGTTATTCCCATTTTTGAAACCCATAAGGTTTATATGAAATACAACTCAAGTTTCAACTGTCCTTGTCCTACTGTCCTACTGCCCTGTTGAAAATAAGAAAAAAAAAGAAAAAGACAAGAAGAAGAAAATGCAGCATATAGCACAGCGGGCAAATAGACACATGTGCCCATGACGTAAAAGAGGTTGTAACGTTGTCGAATGTCGAATGTTATTCGTCGAAGATGACAAGGTAGAAATAAAACGAAAATGACAACACATGAATAGGGGGGGGGGGGGGAACACCGAAACGAAATGATACGAAATGAAAAAGAAAACGAAAAAATAAATGAAAAAATGAACTGAAAGGAAAGAAAATAAACAAAAGGAAAAAAGGGATACAGAGGTAAATGAGATATAAAGACAAACACCCCGGAACAGCAATTCTGCAAACCAAGATGATATGAAAATATGAAAAAAGGAAAAAGAAACAAAGGCAATCACAAATGCACATGTTGATGGCGATGATAGCGATGATAGAGATGATAAGAAAAAATAAAGTAGAGAAAAAAAAAAAAGGATGGAAACAAAAGAAAGAAAAGACACTGCAAATGTAATGCCAATGTGTGCTGGTAATGCTCAAAGAGTAAACAGTAAACAGGTCCTTGCGAATAGACGACCAGAAAAAATTCAGAATGATGATACAGGTGACAGTTATGATAGGAAACAAAAAGAAAAGGGCAAAGGAAATTGAGACCAGCAAAACCGAAATACCTCATAGAAAAAAGGATAAAAAGCATGAAAATGGAGAATAACATCTTTTATGCTCCGTGGACCAGTCCAACTGCACAACGCATATACACCGCTTTTCTATCCCCTTCCTTTTGACGTCCTCAATGCCATGTCATGGTACAACGTTAACCCTAAGATACAATCCCCCAAATCACCACGTCTCTTCTTTTACCCCTTTTCCCAAGGTGATTTGAATGGCCTGGCTTAATCATCGGCCAAGTTTGCTTATCCAGGATAGGTACTGGGCTTGGAAGCCAACGAGGCCATCTTTTCTCGCTCAATCTTTTCCTGCTCCATGCGCGCTCGATCTGCCTTGGTGACGCGGGGCTTGCGAACTGTTCCTCCACCTCGTCCGGTGCCACTACCGCGTCCTCCACCGCGGGTCGTGCCGCCACGGCCGCGACCACGGCCACGTCGGACAGTGCCATCGGCCCTATTGAGAAAAAAAAAAAAATATTAGCACATGATGGAGCAAAAGCGAAACGATGCCATGAATACAAAACTCAAAGACATACCTCTCAATGGCAGGCTTCTCGCCCTCGGGAATGAGAGGGCCGCTATAGACGAAGAATCCGTCTTTACTGGCGGCGCGCTGCGCGTCCCAGAGCATCTCCGAGTCGTCAATGAATGGATCATCCTTGTTGTAGTCTTCCACCTTGGGCTTGCGCTTCTTGGGCTTCTCATTGGCTGTGCTGTCGCCGTCCATGCCGCCCATCTCGACATTGCTCTCGGGCTCCGAAAGATCGAGCGACATGTCGTCGGGAGATCCGGCGCCCGCGGCTCCATTGAGTCCCTTTTCGAGTGCCGCTCCTGCCGCAGCAACCCGGGCAAGCCGCTCCTTTTGCGCAGCGAGACGCGGGTGCAGCGCATTAAAGCCATATCGTTCCTCTGCCATCCGTGCAAAGTTGACATACTTGTTGGTCTCGCCCTTGAGGGGAATCTCCAAAATCACCGTCGGCGCGTGCGTGTCGGTGCCGTCCGTTGGCAATGGCGTGGGTCCGCCAAAGAGTGAGCTCGAGAGGAGCCCATTGCCCTGTGCCCGTGGAGCATTCTCCTTTTGCCGGGCAGGTTTGGGTGAAGGTGCACTGGACGCGGGGCCAGCACTGGCGGTGGCCTTTTTATTGCTATTATTCGCATTCAGCGATCGTTTAGGCTCCGGCGGGCATGGCTTCTCGTCTTCGGGCGACTCAGGTTTCGGAGGCGCTGCTCGATCATTGACCGGTGTTGACGTGGACTTGGGCGGGGACAAGGTTACGTGAATCGTCGAGGGAGAGGCGGACCCCGGGGTGGAGACGCCATTACTGCCATTTGTCGTGGTAGCCAACTTGGAGGCATTCGCGGCGAGCGAATGAGAAGCAGCCGACGGCGCAACGGTCGGAGGATCAATGAGACTGGCAATGGACGGCGAAGCGCTCGCACGATTGGCGGTACGTGGCGTCAAGGAAGAGGCAGACGGACCGGTAAACGGATTGCGCGCCGGAGCAGCAGCGATCTCGGCGAGCTCAATGGTGGCAGAGCGAATGGGATCATAATTTTGGCCGCTGGAGCGAGGGGAGGGTTGGGCCGAGGATGAGGATGACAGGGCTGAAATGGAGACGGGGTGGGAGATGGACGGGGGTTGCGAGGAGCGCCGAATAGCGTCAGGATGATTACCTGATTCGGAAACAGGAGAGTGCGCGGCCGAGGACAGCGTCATAGACGACGACTGTTGCGGTTGCTGCTGTTGATTAAGGTGGTGGTGGTAGTGCTGTTGTTGTTGCTGCTGCTGCTGCTGTTGCAAGCGTGGTGACCCCACTAGATCGGTGATCTTGGGCTGATGGGGGTCATGCTGCATGGCCCTGTTGTTGGATTCGCTTAACGCGTCCGACGACGACGTCTTTTGTCTCTTGCGAGCCGTCGTGGGATTGGCGCTGGCACTGGTCGGTGCGGCGCGAGGTTTCCGGGGTTTCGAGATTCTGGGTTCAAAGGTCGTGGTGCTGTCGTTGTTATTTTTATTGTGAGTTAGGGTGGGGGAAGTATTGGAAGAGAGGGAATGGAGGTCATGATTATTTTGGTGAATCGTGTCGCTTGTCGAAACGGTGGAGGACGGCTGCTCTTGCTGCTGCTGCTGCTGCTGCTGCTGCTGCTGTTGTTGCTGGTCTCTCCTCCGGTAAGCCCTCTTGGGGGCGGCCGAATTGGTGGTCGACGACGACGTTGCTTTGGATGATTTGTTGTTTGCCGAGGGTTGGCTGGTGGCTGAAGAAGTATGTTTGGCGGTGGTCCGGCCAGCCGTGTGCTGTTCGGCAGTGGTGGATGACGAATCGTTGTGATTGATATGATGGTGATGATTATTACTGGGATTCAAGGATGCAGCGACCGACCGAGGAGGATAATTATTTTCGGGGTCCAGGGGAGGAGGAGTAGACAAGGGCGACGAGTCTGCTCCTCCATCGTCCATTTGCCGAGACGACATTATTGCTATAGCGCTCACCAACTTCGCACCCCAAGAACAAGTGAAAAGATGATAATCGTGGGGATAAATCCGTCAAGCGAGAGAAATGGGGGAGATTAGACCTCCAAAGGTGAATATTGAAAACAATTCTGATAGTGAATGATGATGATGATGATGGAGTAAGTATCCCTGACTATGGTGGATAATGGGTACAATCAGGCTTCCACGTTGGCACAGAATGTGGCGATGGCTTCAACGTGGGAAATTTGGGGGGGGGGGCGGAGATCTTGTGACAATGGTAGGGGGTGAGAATAGCTTCAAAGTAGACAATTGTTGTTGGCGAGAGAGTACACCAAAGTTTGATGGTTCGCTAAATCATCCGACGGACAGCGAAAGACAGATCTAGGAATGGAGATGATGAAGGAGAGAGAGAGAATGAAGAAGAAGAGGATGAAGAGGATGAAGAAGAAGAAAAGAAAAGAAAGAGGAGAGAGGGAAGAAGGAAGAGGAGAATTAAGATGCGAGAGACAAGAAAAAGGCTACTAAGAGAAGGCAAGGGAAGAAGGATATAAAAGACGAGAGAAGAAGGGGAAGGGGGGGTGGGGGAAGAGGAACATCCGTGGAAAGGAAAGAAGACGGGGCAGAATGGGAATGGGGGGGGGGAACAGCGATTCATTAGGAAAAAGATGAGAATGGGGGCAGCTACACGAGAACGGGGGATGGGATGGGATGGGAAAGACAAGAGACTACGGCAAACACATTGGCTACACGATTGAGAACGGGGGGAGCTTCAAGTTTCATTAAGAATATTTCAGAGTTTGGGGCGGGAAATAAGCGGATGTCTCTGTCTCCATGTGCTTGTGTGTGTGTGTGTTGAATGTATGGGAGGGAGGGAGTGACATGGTCAAATAACCAGACGAGAAGAGAGAGAGAGAGAGAGCGAGAGAGTAAGAGGGAAGAGGCAAGAGGAAAAGAGAGACAAGCAGGACCGAATAGCTCGGGTCAACAACATTGCTTGTGTGGTCGAATGGCAGAGAAGTTGAGTTAACCCGCTCTGCTCACAAAAAGCATTGGCACGCGGCACTTTTTCCGGAAGTCACTGCAGAGATTCTTGTATCCTGCAGTAGGTGAGAGCACGGACAAGAGGGATGTTGTTGGCCCGACACAGAGGAACAACAGACAAAGATAGACATGGAGATGTTGTTCAGCATGTTTCAGATCATGATCTTTATCGATCCATATGTATGTCAACACCCGAGAAAGGATGCAATATAGTTGATGATAATGCTCTCGACGAGATGAAACTCCGACATTCAGGTACAAACAATGCCACTAGAAGCTACGCGATTAGACGTGGGCCGATATTAATGTTACTCCTGTGCGGCATCTTCATTCAAACTTGCAGCACAGAGGTCTCGCCCATTCTGCCAGTCTGGGGCAACCCTAACCCTTTTGGGTATCCCAGCAGCAATGACGCAAACAACTTCTCTCTCACATATCCACTTTCTTGTATTTCTTTTAATTACACATTTTAACTGTTGGGTCATCATAATACCCAAAAAACCCGTATATTTATTTGATCTTTGGTCGTCGTTTCATCTGATTCCATCTAGACTGCTTCGCGCTAGTCCCACAACTGGCTAGCGGCGGCGTAGGCGGTGGCGTTAGTGGGGTACAGGGATCAATCCAATGTGGCCCAATCACGCTAAACTCAAACCCGTCATGCAGATTATGTCAGCGAACAACGCATCCTCCATGCGAACCCGTGTTTTCAGCCAATGCATTCCATACTCTTTTGCTTTTAATTATTTCTAACTGTAGTATTGATTGAGGAATAGTAGATTATCATTGGAGTGAGTTAATAAACAGATTTTTATTTTTTATTTTTTATTTTTTATTTTTTATTTTTTATTTAAATTAGAGACAGATTATACTATTTATGTATGGATATTATCAAGATATAACCAATCCTTTATAATTGTTAGTTATACTCTACTAGCAGTAAACACATTAAGGTCTTGTAATGCTCCCTAGTTTTAATTCAATCATTTAATTATTCAATGATCTATTCATATTTCAATTTTAACATTATTACAATGAAAAGAGCATTGATATAAAAAACTACCATAATCTACTTAGATTGCCCCACTACACCACCCTACACCACGCGCCTAAACATCCCGACTTAACCGCCCGTGCCTTACCGAGCTCACGTTGTCAGTTCACCAGCACCAAGCGGTAGCTTCAAATAAGGACATGCACTTTAGTTGAAACTACTACCTTATATATCCTCTCTATACACCTAACATCTTCGCTGACCCTTTCATCATACACTTTATCTCTCTGATCATTCTCATCTCCCACATAACCCTACTAGCACTTCTACTACTGTCCCTCATCACATGTTTCTCTCCGCCTATCCCACAGGAAGACTACCATAAGCCACCTTATAGACTATCCTATCCCACATCTCCAAGTCCGCACAACATCTCCAGCACAACACCTATTGCAGAAAAAGTGGAAAGAGGAAAATAAAATATACAATAAGCATGGCCACATCCATAATAACGCCGTCCCTGCTCTCCTCGATACGCACACATCCCCGCCTGCCCCCCAACACGTGGTATTACATTGCCGGCGTGACGCTCTCGACGATCAACCGGCCCGACGAAATTCCCAAAGTGCTTCGATACGCGCTGGAAAAGGACGCGAATCTTGATGTGAACTTGAGTAACTCTCAACATGCGCCACACCAGGGGTCATCCAAGGCGTCAGAAGCAGAGCAGCAAACGACGCAAATCCAGGCTCTACAGATTGCGCGCAGGATGCGAGAAGCATTGATTAAATCTGCGCCGATATGCGGACTGCCAAAGGTACCTTTGATTCACTTTACCATTTCGTTGCTTCGTTGCCTCTTTTTCTACATTTGCTTCATTTTTTTGGTATTTTGTTTTACCTGTTTATGCGCGTTACGCCAACCCACTTTTCAATTCATTCAACTTTTTTATGCTACATGTCCACCTCCCTTTCTTATTTTGTTCTACGTATTATGCCTCATGTCAATTGTCAAATTTCACTCTCCCCCAGACTTACAAAAAAGAAAATAAAAAAACAAATATATCATTTGACCCCCAAACAACCCCTCCCGGTACAAACCGTACACAAATCTAACTCCCCACAGGCAATCAACGCTCTCCTCTCCCTCAAAAGCGCCACCCCGCCCTCCCTGCTCGACGACCCCATGGGCTACTCCCCGACCATGCGGCCCGTCGAGCTATACGACATGCCGAGCTCGCAGATCCTGCACCGCGGCCAGGGTTTCTTCGACCGAGTCTACGGCAAGATTTCCAAGCGGGTCATGGGCCAGATGGACCGCTCGGGGACCGAGGATCTCGGCGTCACGGCGCGGCTCATGTACGGGTACATTCTCAGCAACACGAACGTGCTGAGCGCCGAAGAGAGCAGTTATGTGCTTATTGCGGGGCTGATTCCGCAGGATGTACGTATTTCCTTTCCTTTCCTTCTCCTGATCCCCTTCTTGGATATCGGTGGCTGCCTTTTTTTCTCTACCATTTTTATCTCTGCATTTCTGCACTGTATCCTTCTCGCGCCGGACAACCCCAAACGCCATCAGGACTTACCCAAATTCCCGAGAGTGTTTTTAGACCGGAGAGACAAAAACAGCCCGGGCAGAAGATATAAACTAGATAAACAAGAAAGATAGCTGACAGGGAAAAAAAAAAGGTAAACCCGCAACTCAAAGGCCATCTAAAAGGCGCAGTGAACAACGGCGCGACGGTCGAGAGTGTGTGCGCGGTGCGCGACATTGTGATACAGATATGCGAAGCGTCGGGCATGAAGACGATAGGGGAGAACGCCGTGGGGGGATGGGGCTGGAGGGGCGAGGTCGCGAATTTATGATCTAGCGTTCTGCGTGGTTTAATTCTTCTGCATAGCGGCCTCCCCCCGCCCCTCCTTTTTTGTTTTTTTTAAACACTGAAATACATATGTATATGTTGTTGCGGCAGGAGTACATATGAGTTGGAATCAATGAGATATAAGAATAAGATATAAAAGTAATGAAATATAGAATGTTCAGTGAATATCATTTGGCATTGTCGTTGTCATCGTTGTAGCATCAACGTGGCTAGTAAAGAGTAGATATCAGAGACTATCTGAAGAACATAAGTAATAGCGCTATGAATTAATACGAGGAAGAGGAGAGAGAGAGAGAGAGAGAGAGAGAGAGAGGGACAGGATTACAACAGCCCACGACAGGTACCTTGAAAATGAGAATGATGAGAATAAATGCAAGCAAAAGGAAAGAGAGAGGAGACAAGAAGACGAAATGGTAGAATTGAATATAAAATAAAATTCAAAGCTCGGCAGCGACAGTCTTTTTACTTGATGCGGCATCTTGCGTGACTGCGTCTTTGTGATCCGCAGAAGACGGCGGCGAAGACGACGAGGAAGAAGACGGAGTCTTGCCCAGCCAAGAATCAGCAAGAAGACGCGCGACATTCATGCCTGCGAGCGCACTAGTCTCCATTGTGCTGATGAAGCTCTCGATTCCACTCGTGTAATACAGACTATTGCCCAGCAAGGGCTCATCAAACGTAACCCGCGGATAGAGATATGGGTAGGAATGCCATGCCTTACGATATATCCAGGTGACGTCGCCACTCGGTTGCGCTGCTGTCACTGCTGGCTTTGCCGTCGATCCTTCTTGCACCTCATCTTCAGAAACGTCTTGAGAAACTGGCGGGTCAGGTAAGACAGGAGGCTCAGAAAGACCGAGGATATGTCCCAGGAACGTAGCGTTGACAGGATGCGGCGAAAAGATTTTATACAAATACTCTTTTCGCGGAGGATCTACGGCATGGTTCCTCACGCTGCGGAGCGTGCTGATGCTGAAGAACCCTGCGGGACCAACGCCTGCCGCGCGCTCCTCGGGCTTGGTCTCCTTGGGAAGCGTCGTGAGGATGATTTCCGGCACGGAAGAAGAGCCGGCTGGGAGATTAAAAGCCTCAGCAGAAAGCCTGTGCGGTGAAGAAAGGAGTGTCACATGTAGCGTCACATAAGGGATCTTGTCGGGGCGTTTCTCAATCAGAGGGGCATCTAGGTTGATATTGGAGAATTGAAGCGGCGTAGCAAGGATGACGGTGTCGAATGTCTCATTGATCGTATCCTCGGGCTCAGTAGCAAAGTCCTTGGAGAGAGAGGAGGGAGATGAAGCAGAGGAGATAACATAAGTCCCATCGTGCTGATAAATGACATCTGTCACTTTCGTGTCGAGCTTCACCTGTGCGTGAGCGGCTTTAATCATCCCGTCAAAAATCCGCCAATTCCCGCCCTGAACAGCCATGGCACCATCGGTTGCCATGCAGACCATGGTTTCCAGACCATGGATGAAAGGCAAGTTCTGCGCATAATTGACTCGAGTGCTGGCCTGGATGATCTCGGTCGAAAAGGGTGGAAGAATGTTCTTGGATTCGAGAAATTGGGCACCCGTCTCCGACGTTACAGCGGTCAAGCCCAGGTCATAAGAGACTTGCGATAGGGACTGCCATGGGAAATAGGGCTCGTCGTACATCTTAAGAAACTTGCCCACGATTTCTTGCATGAGGTTCTGCGTCCGAATTGGAGCCCAGCCATATTTCCAGAGAAGCTTGGCGATATTCCACCACGAATAGCCATTGTCGTCTTGAGAGAACACAATTCGCTCGCCGTCCCAGACACCAAGTTGGGATGATGACTCCTTTGGGCGATGCAGGTCTGCTGAACTGACGGTAAGACCAAGCTCCTCTGCTGCTGTCACCAGGATCTTGTTGACCTTGACAAAGATGGAAGCTCCAAGCTCCACCGGCTCAGATAGATCGTCAAAGACATTCACAGTTGTTGAACGGCCACCGACATGTGACGACCGCTCAAATACGGTAATGTTTGCTTTTATACCGGCAACCTGGGCGTATTTGTCCAGGTGGTAAGCTGCAGAAGCTCCGCCAGCTCCAGCGCCTAGAACAATAGCGTTAATATCAGAACAGCACCCAAGGTCTTTCGAATCATAAGATATTTCAAATGAATCAATTTCATATATTCAACAGTGAACACGTACCGATGATAGCTACTCTCTTAACGGCCTGATCAGACAAGACCGTCTGTGGTTCATCATTGTCTTGGTAAGCGTGCCCGAATGAAGCCTGCAACAGGCCCAGAACAAGCAAGGACTTGCCAAGAAACATGTCACAGGAATGATTTAGAGTATACTCAAACAGTCCTGGTTGAACCTTTCTTCGCAGAGTCTAGTAATGGTTCATCATTACTGCAATGTTTGTGTGGTCTGACTGCCTCAGGGCATGAGCTCCTGTGTAGCTGCTGACGCCAGACTCCTGAAATGGGTTAAGACAGAAAACGGTACAACCAACTCCACCATTGGACCAGCGCCATTAGGAATCGAACCCAATATCAGTTAAATACACACTCTTGGCACAAAGACTTGATTGATAAGATAACCTAGTCTGGGGTTCTTCCCGCTTTCTAACGCGGCCCGAAACACGTCGCGTGTTGTAACCGCCGGTACGGTACGCAACAGGAGGCATACAGAATCAAGAAACACCAGAACATTTTCCAGCCAGTTGCTTCTCAAGCAAATTCGATTTTGAATAATTCTTGACATTTTGTTGTAATTTTCACATATTATTCTATTTGGTTTCCTGGTGTCTGGAAAATATCATTGGCACAAAAAATTTGCAACAAGCCGGAATTGTTGCCATCGCTGCTTACCTCCGACGCGTATTGTTGCAATGGCGCGATTCGAAGACCTGCCAGTGGAGATTGTCCGGGAGATTATATTATGGGTTCCCTACTATCAATCCTACTCTCGGAAGAATGGCTTTGGATCTCTGCGCTCTGTTTCGAAGACTTTCCAGCATGTGATTGAGCCCATATACTATTCTACATTCACATGCTCATCATATCGACTTGTACCAGGGTTTGTGACACTCTTGCGCACGTTCTGGGAACGACCAGAGCTAGGTCATCATGTGAAACGACTTCACATCCTAGAAATGAAACCTGAACTTGTTTTTGAAGAGGACATATCTCAACAACAGGATGAGGAACCTTACAAATCATCATATCTCAAAGAGGCTGATACCATGTTCACTGACATGGTGAAATCGCTGAATCTACCCGATAATGAGAAACAATGGATAGAGATCTTGATGGAAGGATGTCGGGAGGATTCGAAAGGCGCCCTCTATAGGAAAGACGACTTCATAAAAGTGTTCGATGCGTTGCTCGCGCTATTGCTTACGAGGATGCCAAAATTGGAAAGCATCACACTCGAACTCTACAGAATGTGGGGGTACAGATGGAGCAGATTCGAGCAAGCCGCACTCACACAAATGATATTATCCGAATCCCGCAACAAATCTTCACAGTCCAGCATTCCTCGCTTCGAGGATTTGAAAGCGCTCCAGGTGATAGCGCTAGAAGACAGGGAAAAATCAATGAGCAAAATCTGCCCATTACTTGCAACTCCAAATATAGAAGTTCTGACCCTAGAAGGAGCGAGCGACTACTTCGACGGGAATTGGTGGGAGAAACTTCATGACGGAGGCTATCCTTTCCTTAGCGCCCTCATGTTAGATTTCTGCGACTTGAAAATCGAAGGAGTCAAAGGCCTCATAGGCCTTTGTCCACGTCTTCAGCATTTCGTTTACGAGGTCGATGAAACACCCTTCGATGAGGTGGGCTCGGAGATATGCATCAAAGCCAGTGAAATCAGGGAGAGCCTAGAATCGAGAGAGAAGATGATAAAGACATTGAGAATCTCGTATAGTAGTCTCCTTGATGAATATGGCGAGGACTATGAGGAGGAGAACGATTCCGGCGTCATTGAGGACCTGACAATTGGCTCGCTCAGACACTGGTCAAAGCTAGAGACTCTCCACATTGAGCAGCCGTGTCTCGTCCGATTCGATAATGCCTGAAGCGACACCGAAAGTGAGAGTGAAAATGAAAGCGAAATCGAAGGCGATAGTGACGACGATGCCAAGTGGGATGACACTCCGATACCGAGAGCAACTCTTCAGGGTCTTTTGCCGCCATCTTTAAAGACGCTGTCACTTGCTCGTTGTGATGGGCGTCTTGTTCCATTATTGACAGATCTCGCTATCCACAGGGATGAAAAGCTACCGAACCTCACCATGTGTGAGGTGACAGGAAGTGACACAGATGGATTTGACTCCAAATATCTTAACGAGATATGCCCTGGACTCAAATTTAAGATCAGAAACGATGACGACTCTGATGGCGAAGAGGTGGAAATATTTTTGTGACTTATATCTCTTTGAGAATTGAAGAATTTGTGTCAAACTTGAGCGGATATTTGTAGATACAAAGACGAGTTAGAACAACAAGGGTTTCCGAAATCTAAAGATGCCAGCATGTAAGCCATAAACACGGGCATGCACTTTGTGATTAACAGAGAACGGGGTAAATGACGGGAAAATGAAACGCCACGATTAACAACAACAGAAAAAAAAAGGAACTATGAATAAGGACGGGGACATTTTTATGCGCCTTCACTTCCAAATTCTTTGGTCCATTCCGCACTTCTATTGAGATCCTCAGCGCTGACCGTTGGCCTTGAGCCTTTAACAGCCTTCACAAAGTCTTTCAGCGTCAGTGGGGGTTCGAGGAGCTTATCGGAGTCCACTGCAGTCCAATCCATTTCAGCGGCCCCTTGATCACCAGGTGAGCACGGCGTCAGCTTCTCGGCGCCATCAACAATGACCTGTAGCAGCGGCATTAGTTGTGTTTCCCCTTTCGAAGTATATAGCATGCGGACTTCCAATCACACTGACCTTCTTGTAATGGGTTGCCGTCTGAATTTTGCGGACCGGTTGCATCAGAGCGTCCTGAACAGCAATGCTGATATCACTGCCGGAATACCCTTCGGTCATCTGGGCTAATGTCTTGTAATCTGCCGGCTTCAGCTCGCAAGGGGTTGATCCGACGGCCATCTCAAACATTTTCATCCTCCCAGGCATGTCGGGCAAGCTGATATGCACTCGACGTTGGAATCGTCTTCGGATAGCCGCATCTAGTTGCCAGGGGATGTTTGTTGCCCCCAAGATAAGCACACCCCTAGAGTCACGACCAACACCATCCATCTGCACGAGCAATTCTGTTTTGATACGACGAGAAGCTTCCGATTCACCTTCTCCTCGAGGCCCACAGAGAGCATCAACTTCATCGATGAAAATGATTGAAGGCTTATTTTCTCTTGCCATGTTAAACAGCTGCTTCACAAGACTAAGTGATAATTAGTAAATTTTCCCTCTCCAAAATCGAATAGGTCCCGACGCTTACCGTTCACTTTCTCCCATCCATTTCGAAACAAGGTCACTACTGCTGACACTAAAGAATGTGCTGTTTGCTTCTGTTGCAACGGCCTTCGCGAGATAACTTTTACCGGTACCTGGTGGTCCGTACAACAAGATACCCTTCCATGGTTGACGCTTTCCGGTGAAGAGATGAGGGAATTTGATCGGTAAAATGACAGCCTCTTTCAAAGCTTCCTTTGCTGACTCAAGGCCGGCCACATCTTCCCATTTCACGTTTGGCTTGTCGGTGAGGATTGCACCGGCAAGGGCCCCTCTTAGCTTTTTCGCGTCCGGGTCTTCATCCTCATCCTCCCTATCGTGAGGCAAAAATCAGAGTTAGCCCTCTGAATAATTATACCACTGCCCATCCTTGCTCGAACATGTAACAAGATCTCCACGTACTTTCCCTTGCCACCACCGCCAGAAACTTTGCCATTTGCGCCTATAGCGCTAGGTTTCCTGCGATTCCCTTTGTCGCTTTCCGCTAAATGATTTTTGAGTTTCTCGGCCCGTTCCATATACTCGCCCGCCTTGGATCGAATCATTTCCTTGGACTTTGCATTTTTCTCCCCTAAAGACGCGCGAGATACCTGGTCAGAAGAAGAAGGCAATTGAAAGTGATGGGAAGCCTACATTTCAGAGCCAACATAAACAACTCCACTATGTCAATGAAAGTCAGTTTCAGCCCTTCTTCGAGCAATTGCAGCGCACAAGGTACGCACAAGCTTGATAATATAGCTGGTAGGCCTTCTCATATTCGCCCGCGGTGTCGTTCTCTATCGCCTTCTTCACGACATCTATCGCCCGACCGAGAAAGTCTGTATTGCTCATGACCGGCAGAGATATACGGAACCCGGCGACCGCAAAACAGTAATCTAAGTGAGATCAAATGTCGAGTGAGCGGGTAAAAGAGAGGCCAGCGGGTAAAAGCTATAGCGCGAGCGGTAGAAAGAGCTGCGCGGGGTAGAGCGACGAAGGAAAGCTGGAAGTGCTATTGTTAGCATCACGGTGATGCCTCAAGAACTAGCACAGAATATAGTGTATATCCATATATTGTGCGCAGAAGCTTACCCAGACACAATTTGTTTGCGTGGTCAGATGAACGATCGTTTTGTTGAATCAAAGCTGTTGTTTGAGGCAACGGCCCCATATCAACATGATGCCGCCTAGCGGGAGCTTGGCACGTCACGCCCCGCTAAAAGGACACACTTTCGGAGTCCAGACACTCAATTCACAAACGCACCCCGTCCAAAGTCCCTGACGATCCCTGGCGGCAACTCGTACCCTTGCGAAGAGAATTTTATTTTAAAAATGGCCGAGATGCAAAAGCAACTACAGTCTTTGACTGAAGATTACCAGAAGCTCCAGCTTGGTGAGGACTGTTTCAGCCGCTTCGGAAGTAACTGCTAACAATTTTTACAGAGCTTCAATCCACCGTTGAGGCACGTCAGAAGCTTGAATCGCAGCTCCAGGAGAACAAAGGCGTCCAGACGGTTAGCATTGTCAATGTGTACCAATCAACGGTCGGTGGCTGATCAACTTGATGCAGGAATTCTCAAACCTCAGTGACGATGCGAACATCTACAAATTGGTCGGCCCGGTGCTCCTCAAGCAGGACAAAACTGAAGCAGTATCGGCTGTAGAAGGCCGTTTATCTTTCATCGAGAAAGAAATGTATGTGTCTCGATGTTCAAATTCCGTTGGGGCTGTAATGTTTCCTTTCTACAACATGCTTACGATTTAAAAGTGCACGCATCGAGAAGAATCTGAATGAGGCCCAGGGCAAGATTGAAGAGAAGAAGATTGCGGTAAGCTCGCCTTGAAGCGATTCTCCTGGCAATCTACTAAGAAATCGCAGATCATTCGAATTCAGACACTATACCAGCAGCAGGCACAACAAGCTCAGGCAGCATCATCATAGCATCATCTTCCGCATTATTAGAGCTAGCGACCGAAGACAACATATACCCATCAAAGATGTTCAGAATTTAATATTCAAAATTCACCGTTTCCCTAAATGGTCCCCTTTGGGCACCCTTAAAATGTTTGAGCGAACTTATCAACGTCATTCATCAAGTTCGGTTTCGACGACTTGCTCTTGATACCCCCGTAATGAGCCTCCGAATGGTTATCATGGAGCTTAACGAAAACAGGACTATATAGAGCGAATCTTCAAAGGATGAACAATTGATATGGTGTCATAGATGATCGAAAATAACGCATCAATACCGGACCAGGGATCATTAGTCACCCTATCTTCATTTGATCGACAATCATCCCATTCGCACTTCCATGTGAAAGGGATACAGAACTTCAATTGAATTGGTCGCTGCGAGGTTGGGCGCATTTGTTGGGTTGATGGAAGGGCTCACGCGGTCAGAGGTTACATAAGTATTTGAAAACAGCGCAAGAATTTTTTTACAACTAAACAACAGTCCTATGATTATTAGATTTATTTGATCGCGTCACGCTTCCTGATTGAAGTCATAGCAATTTCAATTGCAGTCTTGGGCTGCTCCACTCGGTTGCATCTATTCAAACAACTCAACCCAAGAAACTGCCAGTACATGTTTTGTCATTGGAGCCGCTACACACCTATCATTCTGACTTTTCAGACCAACGTTCTCGTACACTGGCAGGATTACATGTATCACGTTGTGCCTATACTTTTGAATATATTTTCTCTGTTCAAAAGGACTGGCATCAGTGATATGGTCCCTTACCTTGGCCGTTGGGAATGTCCCTCTAGCGCAAGCGGAGATGGCCCCGCATAAAGCGCCCTTGGTGAAAGAGTACCGGCAGGTTATGCAAGGGGCAATGTCAAAGCTGACAGGTCCCGGGGAATATCATACACGCAGATCTAGTCTCTCGACGAGTCAATTGCGCCGCAGTTCAGCGGCAAAGTTTGGATACGCTAGTGTGAACACAAGGCTACTACGTAAGGTCCATCAAATCAAAATTTCGGTCGGGGCATGTCTCATATTTGCCTTCTATTACGATCGATAACGTTTCCCGCCGGGCTTCTCTATCATGAATCCTGTGCTGGCTTAATGATTGGTATGGGGAAGCGAGGTTTGCGCCAAGTGGCAGCCATGCTCGCTCTCCATGACTATATGCGGGGAAGCGAAGGCCGTGGTCCCGCGGTGTCGCACAACATCAATCCCCCAACTTCTATCCTCCAGACCGCTACCACAATATTCTCCAAGCCTAGGAGGAGGCAGCCAGTCCTAATACAGTCACCTCATATGTGCATTCATGCCAATGGCTGAACTCTAACTGCTCCCCTAAGCCCATTACATTATCCATAGAGAACTCACCATGCCCAAGTCAAGGACAGACTGTATATCATGTGCACCACGCATTAGAAAGGGCGGGGTGCGAGTACGTCGAGGAGTTCCCAGAATCGGAGGGCTCCTGGAGTAAGATGAGATGACCATCTGGGGCTGGAGAAACTGCTGCCCTGCCAAGATGGGCTCGTCTCTAGAGCCGCCTAAGCCTTTTGACAGTTTCCTGATCACATGCGCAGTCCCGATACACCCCTTTGTGCATCTCGTGGCAATGAGGCAATTGATTATATTATCTTCTTGACTTGAATTATTATCTTGTTCAATCTGGTCCATCTGGCTGAATTTGATACGTGTTTTGTGCAGGCGGATCGAGAAGCTGTAGATGATGGAATGATGTTTTGCCATGATTTTGTTTTACATTTCCCATTGAATGCGAGTCGGCAATCTTGATTGCAAAGGTTTTCAAATATGAAGAGAATTGCGCTGAGATTCCGCCGGGCGAGCGGCGGACCTTGGAACATAGAAAACGAGGAGGTTCAGATCCAAAACAGCAACGTTCAGAAGCAACGGCATGCGAGTCTACCAGTTATTCTCACGGGTGTTCGGCGGACGAGCAAAACGGAGACGGAAATCAACGAGAACGGATCTAATGCGAGGTAAATTTGACTTTCTGGCCGGTTTTGTGACGTGCTTTGCTCAATTATATACCTTAGTCAAATTACTTTTGCCGAGAGATTTTTGGCTCTACCGACGGAGCTGCAGCTCATGATTCTGTACAGTCTTTCTTTTGCAGATCTCATGACAGTCCGGCTCTTATCTCGAAGATTTTCAAATCTTGTTGCAGCAAATGAAACGCCCCTAGCTCGTCACCATATCAAGCATGAATTGCCTCCTTATATCTTTGAGACCTACTCGCCCACGTCAATACCTCTTGAAATGTCATATCTGCGTGGCCTTGCCCACCACCACGCAGTTGTCAAAAGATTGGCGTCTAATCTTGCCGGATTCATAACCCGCGAAATATTTGGTCTGAGTCGAGAAAGGAAATTGATACGCTTCGAATCTCGCCGACGCCGCATGCAGGAGCGAATGATACCGAGGCTTCTTCCTCTGCTCCACTTTTTCGAAAGTTACAGCGTGGCGTATAGAGATCACTGCACAGATTTATTTCGGAATGGTCAAGCCTGGAGGCCGCCGACCTCGCTGGAGGCTCAGATCATGGATGCTTACTCACCAGCTACGCTCCTAAAGGCTCACGAAATGTGCAGGTTACTCTTTCAGATTTTCAGCAGAAAGTTGCGGCCGCCAACCTACGCGGGGACCATTGAACGTACACTGAGGCGTTGGACAATGCAGCCGGGCACACGTCGGGAAGTGGCTGTGCTGTTTGCGCTTGGGGGTCTTGAGGAGGTTCTACACATCCTCGAGGCGGATTCCTATGTGGGGCGACGACGAGCGCTTGCAGAATTTGTGCGGAGAATTGATGAGGCAGCAAAACCGGGAGGGGGGAAGCTAGTGGCGCAACTGGATCTCTTTCAGCGAGTAAAGGCAGAAAACCATGGTGCTACCGAGACCGCAACTGGTGGAGACGGCGACGAAATGAGAAAGCCAACAGCCGAAGCCCTTACGGGAGTCCCTGGCTCACCGCAGATCCTGTCGATGATGCTCGAGCACCTGCCCATCGATCCATACATCTGGTTTAACACGGCCGAGAGCATGTTGATTGCCAAAGGAGCGGTGAAAAGCCTGAATGAGGTCAAATGGCCTCCGGTACTGATCAATGACTTGGTAGGATACAATTTTCTCCATGAAGCTGTGCGCCTGGACGAAGAGCTTGTCAACGACGATGTTGTTGACAATGGAGACGAAGAGGCCGGCAGTCCTGTTCCTGGTGAGAGCGGGGATGAGATCCAAGAAAGGTAAGTTCAGGGTCCTGTGTTCACAGGACAACGGTATCTGGTCGACGATGCGGGGCTAGCATTTAGTGCACGGAGGGGCATCGATCTCTTACGTGACCGCGCGGGACCACGGAATTTGATCGCCGCGAGAAAATATTTGCTCGTGTGCTCCCGTGCCAAATTTGGGTTCCAGATTTTATGTCGTGCCCAAGGTGGGCTCCGGCGCCTTCTTGTTTCGCTGTCGCGGAACAATGTCCTTAATTTGGTTCAAAGTGTTTCAATGCATCTTTTATCCAATGATCTGTCAACCAATTGAAGACGGTTTACTTTGAGTCATGACTGCTTTGAATATGCAAACAACCTCGAGATGGCTGTCAACTTGTTTGAAGCACAACGAGAGCAAACGGCACAGGAGATTAACTAATCGAAAACCGATGTCGACAAAGCAGCTTCTCCCAATCAGGAGAGATTGGCAAAGCTTTCCGTTCTAGCTACTGATGCCCCTCGGTTGCTCAGGTGGATCCGGGCTAAAGGGAAACTCATGGCGGAGGACGTAAACCAAGGAAGGGGGTGTCTTTTCTAGAACGAAGCCAAAGCGAAGGTACCTTGGGGCTTATCGATTTTCGACATGCTTTCCGTCAGCCGGCAGAGCAACGGCCCCGTTTCAGCTGAGACATTGTCCATTAAGCAGCGGCATCCGGCTGGGGGCGCCGAAGTCGGTTCCTCCAACGGCAATTCCCATGGGAATTTCCCTTACTCGTGTTAGATCCTCTTCACATGTCGCGGCGACATTTTTCCCCCTATACCATGTTAGCTTCAGAAGTGTCTGGATAGCGACAGCAGACACATAAGATGCAAAGCACGAGAGTTGGGAGGTACAGTGCTCGCAACTTCTGACTGCTTCGGGGTAATCGGTCGCGTGTTTGGTGGTCCATGTATCTCGTCATGTCTGGTACTTGGTCGGGAACTGGACGTCACAAGGCAAGGGGGGCCTGAGCTGCAACGGACGCCCCTTTAGACGGCAGACCAAACCGTTTTCTGGCATTCCTCACAAAACCACATTTGACGCTCTAAGCAATGCACACACTAGTTACTGCATGCATAACCCTGTATGCAGGCCGGGCCATTTCTTTTTTCTTTTATTTTTTTCTCTTTCATGACTGCATTATGACAGTCCCCAGCATTCTTGCATTCAGGAGAAATACATGACGGGGATGTGATTGATTACATTAATTATAATTCGAGCAGAGTGGCGGTGGAGACCCTTGTTGGGTCTAGGGAAGGTTAGCCCATGGTTTTGGTTATTTCGATTTGCTAATAAGGCCGAACGTTAGCGGACTCTAGCTCCCCTGGCGCTCGTCGAAGGCTCACCCAGCGGAAAGGATGCTCAATGAGGATCTACGAATTCATAACTAAATCTCTATTGGCTGCGATAACATTGATAATGTTCGTATCGTGGGTATCGGTCGGGTCTGTCTGCCGTCACTGCTCAAGAGACTCGAGAGTGGAACCGTGAACCGATGCAGGACCGTTCCCAAAGTTCGAGCACCTAGTACGTAACAGCGCAGGAAGGAATTCAATGAGGAGGGGGGGGGAAAAGAATGGTGATGGGATGAAGGAAGCGCGGTTTTAAGACCATAGTTCTGCACCAACTGGTGAAGGTTTCCCTAGAGACAAATAAGAAAATAATTTTCCTTTTCTTTTTCATTTCATTGGCACTTCGTGGTCCCAAACAAGAGGGAGATAAAACCCGTCACATTGGATGCGATAAGAATCCAATGCTTCTCCAACAACTTCCCCCCTGCGGAAACTCAATCGATCAGCCAAACCTCTGGGATCTCTGATTTCATTATTCTCCTTTTTCTTTCCCCAATACGCTCGAATCCGGGGAATTGCAGCCCGAGGCAAACAGCGCCCCCGGACGTCTTTGCAGCTGTATACAATTACAGCCGAAAAAGCCTCCCATCATCGAGCCATTGCTGTAATCTAATTCCGTCGGCGCCCAATCGACGTTTGCATGATAAGACTTATATATGCCCGCGGTTCACGGATGCATGAAGCCGATCAATATCACTCCTAACGCTTAATCTCTACCTTGTTCTATTATCACCGCCATTATCATTATTTTTTATCGGTCTACTACACGCCTATTCCGTACTATCCAATTTAACTTTTGATCGGGGAAGCTATCACCTTCCCCCGGTTTCTGCGGCTGCTTGAAGTAACCTTCTCGTATTGTGGTCGTACTACTGGGTACCGTCTACCATCAACGCCACACGTCCTCTTCTTATCTCTACTCTACCTACCTCTCTCTCATCTCAACTCACAAGCTCACTCGACCCTCACACGGCTTTCTCTTTTCTCTCACGGGCTCACGCACCTGGCGAATCAGCCCCCAATCGCATACAACCTCTTCCGCCCACCCACCCGACGGCCACCGTCGGGCCTGCTAACTTCCCCGTGTCGATCGAATATCCCCCCCGGCTCTCTCACGCTCTCTATCCGGCTCACCGCTTGTGAAAGCCAGACACTTACTCTCGTGCCGTTTTCTACAAGTGTCTCGCATCCCCAGGTTTCCTCGCCTGCTTCTCTTCTCGCTCGAGTACCAACTGCTTCCTCAGTGCCGGTCAGCTGAGAGCATACTTTGGTCGATATACTTGAATCATTTCAGGATATTTTCCCTGTCATCATCCCAGCAGCACAAACGGCAGCAGGGAAGTCGGTCGGTCACACGCCATACGATCCGACGACGCATACCACACCACACCAGCTGAACCCCCTTTAATTCCCATATCGCACCTAGGGGCCAAGCATGTCCCGGTGACGGCGACAAGTTCAAGCAGACGATAATCGCGAGCGTGGGAGATGGACTTCATAGTGAGTTTCACCCTATACGGATGGAAATGTTCCCTTGGGTCGGCCAAACGCAGAGAGCCAGGCCTACGGGTTGCTTTACGGGTTCCTTTCGGGGTGGCTGTATTGGGGCTTTGATCGTCGCCGTGGCGCGAAAGGCTTATGGTTGAACGCCTTTTGGGACCTTGCAAAAGGCTCGACGCGGACCAGGAGCTGTTCTCCTCTGTCGAACCCTGGACACTTGAACGTTGATGAAGCTAACCGTTTTAACTCTTTCAAGTTCTCTCTCGCCCACTTCTGCGAAGTGCATGGTCCGACCTCGATCCTCTGTACTCAGGTTCTTCCTGTATCCTGCGTGACGTGTTCTCCGCCAGAGAGCTCTTCTCCAGGTTCCGACAGTGTGCTTCTCGCATCAAATCCCGGTGCCCCTTCGTCCTCTACTGGCAATGAAGGACGACATTCACGACGATCCACAAATACTACGAATTCTTGTCCTTCCTCTGTCCCTACGCATATCGCCGCACGTCGGCCAGGCCCGCCCAGCACGACTGGAACGACCGACTCGCAATCTTCTGAACCATATCTGTACCCACATGCGCCCTTAGGCGCAAACGCATCCGCTACAACCACCGCTGCCTCGTCTCCTTCGCTCCCGTTCTCCGAGTCTCCACCTCGATCTCCCTTGAGTCCAAATATCCATAATCATCCATTCTTTGTTGGTGGCTATACCGATGGCGATTCGGCCAGGCGGTCTAGTCTTGCCGGACATGACGAGGATGCCTGCGCAAACTGCTCGCTCAGCCTACCAAAGAAGGTGAGCGAGCAGCTACCAGAAGGTGCGCCGGGGAGCCCATCAAAAGATGGCAAAGGACAAAATGGCAGTCCCGTCTTGCGCTCTCGGGAGGCCGTCCTAGCATGTGGCGGACATGCTGAATGTGACGAAGATCTTGAAGGTCATAATTCCTTTGACAGCGAGGAAGGCATCGATTCCTCACCTAGTTCAATCCAAGCCTCTACATCTTCCCTAGGTTCTCACACACATACGCTCACCTACCTTACTACACGGCATCCGCCCGATCCTTCCGCTTACTCTCTCCTACGACGATCCTGCATTCGCGCTCTCTCCTGCGAGAATCTTCCACGCGGGACCCCCTCGGGGCCGATCTCTTTTGGAGACCCAATCGCAGGTTACACCATCGCCTTTGTTTTTCGACTTCCTGATCCTCGCGCCCGAGGACGACGAAGATCCTATGCGTTTCTTGCCTTGGGCGGTCGAGACGGCCGTCGAGTGTTTAGGGCTCTGCCCGAAATTACCAAGGCCTTTGCCGCCATGGCGGCGCGAGTTATTGCCATGGCCGAGCGCACCGCGGAGCGCGAGATCAGCCGGGAAAAAACCACGGTTGAGGGCGGCTACTCAAAGAATGTCACCTCTGTGTCATCCTTTTTGTCTGGCCGCTCCGTCGACCCAGATGGATATCCGCGGCGCGCAAAAGACGTACGCGCCAAGGGCCTGGCCGAGCTAGTCGGTAAGGAAGACATTTTTGTCGATCTGCACGTTCAGTTTGTGCAACTACTGGCCCGTCTCGGACGAGACTTTGGTGGGCTGCCGCCTCCCGAAGCGGTCATGGACTCGGGGATTCGTGGTGAAGTTGGCGAGCTTGGATCCAGCTATCGCGGCAGAGCCGGAGCTGGGGTCGGCGCTGGCACATCGCAAAAGGCTCGCGAGACCGCACAGGGCCACGCCGAGCGTCTTGCTGGCGTCAGCCTTACCGAGAGCAGCCAGCAGAACTCTCCTGTAGCGATGCATACGCATCCTCATTTCGCCCTCCGAGGCTCACCAGCAACGGCAGTTGCCAGTCCCTCCTCTATGGACACTACGCCACGGCATCAGATTGCTGTCTAAGACCTTTCTAACATCGGTTGGCGCTTTCTTTACGCTGCTATTAAAGCAAGAGTTTCAGAAAACCTTTTATGGTTACCACCTCGTATATCTGCGGGGGCATCCGTGCTTGTTCCCTAGGCTAAGTCGATCTCACGCCTAGTCGGAACTCGGACGATTATCACGATTTTCCTTGTTGTCTTCTTCTTCTTCTTCTTCTTCTTACATTTCCTTCTCTTTTCGCATTCGGTCTCTTGGTAATATTGATATCCTGCGCGAGACTTTATACCCCTGGTTTCAATTATACCATACAGTCCAGTTTCCTTCCGGGAAACCTTTACTTTATTCCTTCTAATAGTCTTCTTTTTGCTGTCTTTTTATAACAGTTTTGTTGACCACACGCTCATCTGGCGTGTCATTTTTTCCCCCAGGATCCCTGTTTCCTGTATGACTAGCACCTTTTGTGCTATACTGACTGAGCTCCTCTCTAATCTGTCTTTCTGCCGAATATTTTGCCTTGCTGTTTTCGTTCTGCCGCGTTCTGAGCGATATTATCAAGAAGACTAAAGTACAGTCTGACATGTTCTAATGGAGAGCGCTGAGCTCCCTTTTCTCTTTTTGTTTTATTGTCCATTTCGGGTCCTGGCGCTTTTTACTTTTTTCTTTCTTTCTTTTTTCTCGTTCTATTCCCCTTGATGTCTGGATGTGTCTTATTATTATTATTATCATTGTTTTCTATTATTACAACTCGCTGGGATTGGACCGGGATACGGAACGAACGGGATCGGGTCGGGAAATAAATGACTCTAGGGAGGCAAATCAATTGGTGTTTTATGGGGACAACCAGATCGCTGGGGAAATTGGGAGCAAGGGTTGTTCGCTGTTTTCAGCACACCTAGTGCTAGGATTAGGATTAGGATTTATAAGGTGTTTTATCATTAGTATCATTGTCGTCATCATGCATTGATGTCGTTATTATTACTACTATCATCATCAGAATCATTTATCATTATCATCATCATCATCATCAATATTACGTTTTTTTTATATCTCGTCATATGGTTGTTCCCGTTTGCCAATGCTATGCTTGGTCAATAGTTAATTTCGCCTACGCTCAGAGTGTTGCTATGCTATGCTATTCTACGCCTACCTAGGTAAGCAAAAGAAGATAAAGCAAGTAAACATGATCAACATGGTAAAAGGCTAAAGGCTACGTCCGCAAATGTCGCGTGACTCGCCAGACTTTATCACCGGCCGCTTTCCCTTCTTTGCCCTTGAGGATTCGGATCCAGGGGACTTGGCCATGATATGCGTCGAGCAGGGAGTCGTCGACTGCGCCGTCACCTCCTCCTCCTCCTCCACCAGCAGCAGCCTCACGACTCTTTTCAGCATGCGCAGCGACAGCGTAGTCCTCTTGGTACGCCCAGTCGGGCGTATCGAGGCGGCCTAGGACGAGGATGATTTCTTTTGCGGAGGCGGAACGGCTGCGCGTGCGGGATGCGCGGGCGGTGCGGGATTTTTCGGGGGGCTGGCGGGAAAGAGTGTTTTCGTCGGCATCGGCATCTGCATCCATGGAATGGTCCTCGTTGTTATCCAACGGCGTCGATGATGAAGATGAAGAAGATGAAGAAGATGACGAAGATGAATGAGAAGAAAAATGAACAGAATGGACATCAGGCTCAGGCCGAGTATGACGAACAATATCCTCGGGGGTGATCGGCGTGAGGAGATGAAGCGCGCCATTCTGGACGTCGATGCCGCGCACGAGTGCGAGGCCGAGGGTATGTGATTTTTCTGGGTCGGGAGGGATCGCGCAGTGTGCGCCGTTGGAGATGTACGGTAAGTTTTCTGCCTGGGTGCGATAGACTAGAGGATGATCTCGGCGGGATGTGGGAGTAGAGGATATGAAACGTTGTATTTCGGATTCGGATTCGGACTCGGGGTCGGGTTCGGCGTCCGGTTCCCTGGATGATGGTTTTTCGTCTCTGTATTCGTCAAAAGCGTCAGGGTCGCCATAGGAACCTTTAGGTTTGCGGCGCAGGTAGGACGTGCCGGGCAAGGCATCATCGTGTTCGAGGACGACGACAGACGCGAGGGCGCCGTCGAGGATGGTTGAGAGAAGCTCAGGCGGTTGGGTTTCGCCGAGGACTAATATGCCTGCGATTCCTGGGTTGGGGCCCTGATACTGGACGACCCAGGGGCGGATATTGGTCAGGGGGGTGGAGTCCCATCGGGAAGTCAAACCATCCTGCCGTGGCGTGTCCATGTGGAAATAAGAAAGGGTCTGCATCATGCGGAGCTCTTTGGGAGTTCGGCCGATGAGCTGGGAGGGCTGCGAGGGGAGCCGATAGAAGGGTGCGCGGCCAGTAGCGTCTTTGAGGAGTTGCGTGATGTCTTCGAGGCCGGAATCGCTCATGTATGCGACGGCAGTGGGGTTGAAGCGTTGGATGAATTCGACCATGATGTCTACGCCGGGGCCGAGGATCCAGCCCGGGCAATTGATGACAATCGGGCAGGTGGGGTGGGTTTGTCGGAGGCGGTAGTAGTGGCTGATGAGATCCATGGCGCACGCCATGTAGTGGGCTGGATTTTCGCTCGGCGTGTTGGCGGCCAGACTATGTGCGCGCACGATGCGACTGCCGCTGGTAGAAGGCACGACGGGGTGAGTGTATGGTGGGCCGAAATTGGGCGAGCGTAAGTGAACGAGGGAGACGTGGCCGGGCGGGGAGAACTCGGGCTGTCCGGGGTCGAGATCGAGGAGGGCGACTCCGTCTTCTCGTCGTCGGCCGTTTGGTGCGTTGCCTACTGGGGTTGTTGCGGTGGCGGATGATGTTCCCTTTCCGCGGACAGTTAATAGGAAGTTTGTCAGTATGCGGCTGAATGTTGATTTGCCAGAGGATTTTGGCCCGCAGACTAAAAGCACGGGAGCACGTTCTGACGAGTCGCAGAGTTTGGGCACTGCTGATTCCCATTCCGGGCTGAGGACGAGGGGCTCGAGAGGCCGTTTTAGAGGATCATCTGCGGAGGTGTAGAGCTACATGGAGATTAGTTAGCTTTATGTGTGTGCGTGGGTGATGTTCGAGATATGGATATTGGCTCGCTCAGACACATACGGGTGTAAAGGAGCAGGCTGCGATCGTTGCCCCTGCCAGCGTGGTAGATTGATCTGTCCATATTCGACCGAATCTGGGCGATAACTTTCCAAGGGACCGCATTGTATGTTTGCAATGGTATAGCTCGACTTCAGCGGCTATGGTCGCGGTGCGCATGCACTCAATCTGCGGTAGAGAATGTGTCGAAGGTGCATAGATTCGATATGTAGCCGGTCCCTGAGTAAGCACCGCTCCAAGGATCCGCACTGAGCCTTTTCGCACTCGCAGATCGTATTGCCCAATTGCTGTATAAAAGTCTCCTGGGCGCAGTTGAACCAAGATGCCCGTTTGTTCTCCAGAAAGAAGCTTTTCTTTCTTGCGCTGCACGGTCGATAGTGGAGTGTTGCGCAGTTTCGCCCGCGACATGGGTATCTGGTCCCTCCGGTCCTCCTCGCTCTCAGAGCTCGATTCAATGACACTCTCATCTTCCGAATCCCCCCAGAGCCGGATCGCGCCGTCTTCGACGTCGTCAGAGTCGGACGAACCCTGTCGTGGGTTGGCTGCAATTGCATTTGCATTTGCAGACATGTTCACGTGCCCGTCGAGTGTACCACTTCCGCCATTTAACTGCGCAAGTGTTTCGACGACTTGCGATTGTTGTGCGAGGATCGGTTTCCAGTCGGACGGCTCTGCTGGCGGATATTCGAAATTTCGTAGAGCTTGCCGCATCGTGGATTTTGGCTGCTTTTCCGCTTTCGAGGCCGTGTCTCTCTTTCTCTTCTTTCTGGAACCGCCGGAAGTGTTTGCTACATTGTCCAGATTTGTTGTCGGATTGGAAGGGGCTGGATCCTGCTTTTGTTGTTGCTCCTGCTGCTGCTGCTGCTGCTGCTGCTGCTGTTGTAACTTTTGTTGTTGGCGGGCCTTTATGGCCGCCGCAGCACTAAGAGGAGCTATGAATGTATTAGAAAATTCAAAAAGAGCAATCTGAAGAGAGTGTAAACTTACGCATCTTGATTTACTCGAATGTTGTCATCCTCATGAAACGCGGTGAGGAAAAATCACAGATTCTGCCGGGTTTGGCCGCATATGCGCAGTTGGTCGGTGTTTCTCCTGGTTCGGCAGGGATGTCGGAGAAAAGAATAACCGATGTGCAAAAGTTCAGAAACTTTGGTGTCGTCGGTTGTCCATTTTGTTATTATTGTGCGCTCTCAAATCGCAATGGCTCAGAGCAAAGCATCAAAGCCTTCAAAGAAGGAGCAAAAAGCTTCTGAGGCTGTCAAGGCCCAGGAAAAGCCAACACGGAGCGAAAAAGAAGTCGTCGACGTGAGTGAGGGAGAGAGCGATGCCACGAGCGAGAGCGCCAGTGAAAGCGAATCTGCCTCCTCTTCTGGCTCGGAAAGCAGTGCCTCAGAATCTGAGAGCAGCGATGAGAGTCCTAATCAGAGGAGCCAGGGCCAGAATCACCCATCTGTAGTGTGAGTGATATGCTTGTTGTGCTGCATGATTTTCAATGCGCTCACAATTACTATTAGAAAACCTGCACAACCACCAAGGGTTTTCACTGCGCCTGAGGGGTTCAAAGCTGTTCCTACTGCATCTATCCCTTCTTCAAAGGCTGCACGTCTTTTCTCTTCTTCCAATCTTGCTGGAAAGCAGATCTGGCACATCACTGCACCCGCCTCCGTACCTATCGATTCTATCAAAGAAGTCGCACTAGAGAATGTGCAGAAGGGAGAGTCTGTTCTCTCTCACAAGGGCGCTGAATATGGCTTTTCAATAAATGAAACCCCAGCGGAGTCGAACACCAAACTCCTTGTACCCAGCGGCAGCGGGAACGGTTACCAGTTAGGTATGGTGTCTTCTTCGTTTGATCATAGTCTACAATATGGAAATCGCATGTATTGATTTTTTTTTCTAGTCCGCGATGGTGTTGCGCAGTCATTACATCTCCACCAACTTGTCCGGATACCAAACCTTCCTCATGCCGTTGAGGATTCTCCCGAGAAGGCCAGCGAGATCCCCCCGGCGCCCGCGAAGAAGCCCGTTCGCCAGCAACCAGAAGACCTGAAGATGCGCTTTTTCCCTATCGGCTCTAGAGCCAACGCAGATTCGGACACTGAAATGGCCGACGCGGACGACGTAACCGTGCAAAAGTTTAGAATGCCGACCGGCGCCGATCACAGCTCGCGGAAAGAAAAGCGAAAACTCCACGAGGTCAATGGCACTCAAGAGTCAGAAGAGCAGGTTCTTCCGGCATCCAACCAGGACGAGGAGGCGCGGAGAAAAAAACACAAGCACAAGCACAAGTCAGACAAAGAAATTCGACCTTCAGCAGAGGGCGAGAGCAAGGAAGAACGGGGTCGAAAGGAGCACACTGAGGCCGACGAGCATGAGCGACGACGTGAAACTAGCGAAGAGCGGGCCAAGCGGAAACGCAAGGAGAAGAAGCGTGAAGAAAAGTCGAAATCAAAGGAGAAGAAGAGTTCCAAGCATTGAAAGGCTTGAAAGATATTGCGCCATTGAACGGCGTGTTGGGCAAAAGTTTTTCTTCTTCCGTGCCTTTTTCTCGTCTCATATGGCGTTCAAGCGTTTGGTCTTGCAGTTTTGCATTTCAAAAGGATCTCACTAGGGAAATAGATTGAAGTTGGAAATCATGTCAGGTGGGGCATGTCTTTTCCCTTGCTGTATATATTTCGTCTTCCGGACACAGGATTTCGGCGCGGTTTCTCATCCGTTGCCGCGTGTAAAATGAAGCAACATTACAACTCGATCCTTTAATTTTGATAGTCCGCAAAATGGATATTCGATCAAGCAAAGTAAAAGGCGTGACTGTAATTGTTTTAAAATTCAAATCTTATATCTTCAACCCGCGAGGAACCTTGGTGGTGGGAAACTCGTTTACCTAAGCGCATGTCGACTTCACTCCGTGCCCACAATGGATTTCCCTACCATGTCATTTTATCTTGCATTGAACATTTTGCAAGTATCATTGGCAGGCCCTAACGTCAAGATATTCTGTTCAAGTGACAAATGAGGATATCAGATGGAATCTCATAGTTCGGTATAATTTGCAGGAAGCTTCGGAAGAGCAAATGACCATCACTCGGGTCCCTAAAAGGGTTTAAAAAGAAGTTGTAGCGCGGGGATGGAGCGAGAGGCGAGACCGATTGGAGTAAAGCGGCCGCAGTAATTTGTGTGGGACAGACCCGAACTCGGTGCCCCTCTGCCTGCTGTCTCTTCGAAAGTTTTTCTCGCCCGGAGATACTAATTGCATACCCACCCCCTCCTCTTGCTGCTTCTCTTCTTCAACTCCTTTCTCCCTTCCTCATCTCATTGTCTTTTTCCCTAGCTTTTCTGTACTTGAAGTTTTTTTGAGTTTTCCTCATAATCACTCTATTCACAATGTCCGTCAACGACTATGCTCTCTCCCAGGGCCACCAGAAGGTATGGAATTGCCCCTCCCTCTCAAAAACATTTGCTTGAAAGCTTGGCTGACTCACAATTAACAGCTCATGGAGGAGACCATGAAGGAGCTCGACCCTGAGATCTCCGACATCATGGTAAATAAATGAACCTTTCTAATTGACGAATGAAACGAAGATGAATCAATTCTGACCCGTTCATGTCAACAGCAAAAAGAGATCCAGCGTCAGCGCGAGTCTATTCTCCTCATTGCTTCCGAGAACATCACCTCTCGTGCCGTTTTCGATGCCTTGGGAACTCCCATGTCCAACAAGTACTCTGAGGGTTACCCCGGTGCCAGATACTACGGTGGCAACCAGTTCATCGACCAGATTGAGTTGACCTGCCAGGCTCGTGCCCTCAAGGTTTTCGGTTGCGACCCCCAGAAGTGGGGCGTCAACGTTCAGTGCTTGAGTGGTAGCCCTGCCAACCTTCAGGTCTACCAGGCCATCATGAGACCCCACGAGCGTCTCATGGGTCTTGACCTTCCCCACGGTGGTCACTTGTCCCACGGCTACCAGACCCCTGCCAAGAAGTGCGTTTTCCCACCTATTCTTCTCCAATTGAGTCATGTCGAGCAGCTTGAGTTAACAATGTCCGCTAGGATCTCTGCCATCTCGACCTACTTCGAGACCCTCCCCTACCGCGTCAACCTCGAGACTGGCATCATTGACTACGATGCCCTCGAGTCCAACGCCCTGCTCTACAGACCCAAGGTCCTCGTTGCCGGTACCTCCGCCTACTGCCGCAACATTGACTACGCCCGCATGCGCAAGATTGCTGACGCCTGCGGCGCTTACCTCATGGTCGACATGGCCCACATCTCCGGTCTCATTGCCGCCGGTGTCATCCCCTCCCCCTTCGAGTACGCCGACATTGTCACCACCACCACCCACAAGTCTCTCCGTGGTCCCCGTGGTGCCATGATCTTCTTCCGCAAGGGTATCCGCAGCGTTGACGCCAAGACTGGCAAGGAGGTCCTCTACGACCTCGAGGGTCCCATCAACTTCTCCGTCTTCCCTGGTCACCAGGGTGGTCCCCACAACCACACCATCACTGCTCTTGCTGTTGCCTTGAAGCAGGCTGACACCCCCGAGTTCAAGGAGTACCAGCAGCAGGTCATCAAGAACGCCAAGGCCCTCGAGGGCGAGTTCAAGAACCTTGGCTACAAGCTTGTTGCCGATGGCACCGACTGCCACATGGTCCTTGTCGACCTCCGCTCCAAGGCCCTGGACGGTGCTCGTGTCGAGGCTGTCCTTGAGCAGGTCAACATTGCCTGCAACAAGAACTCGATCCCTGGCGACAAGTCTGCCCTTACCCCCTGCGGTATCCGTGTCGGTGCCCCCGCCATGACTTCGCGTGGCTTTGGCGAGGAGCACTTCAAGAAGGTCGCTCAGTACATTGACCAGTGCATTGCCATTTGCAAGGATGTCCAGAGCAAGCTTCCCAAGGAGGCCAACAAGCTCAAGGACTTCAAGGCCAAGGTCGCCAGCGAGCAGGTTCCCGAGATCCTTGCTCTCCGCAAGGAGATCTCCCAATGGGCCTCCACCTTCCCTCTGCCCATTGGCCCCGCCTGCTAAATGCACTATATGAGCGACGGATCTTGATGATGTTTCCTTTGAATCCACGAACTTATTTTCTTTGAACTTTTTTTTTTTTTCAAATGGTTTTGTTTATTCTGGTGTTGGCTCAACGAGCACCCAAGGACTGGTTCAACAAAAGTCTTATCGGGATTGTATACCTCTCTTCGTTAATGGGTTTCATGCATATTGTATAGATGATTGGTCTCTAGGAGACGTATGAATATAGATTCAACAAGCACGAGGAACCCTCTGGGGTATCTACATGCATCTAACTCTTGCAATTTCCATGTCCATGCTGTGCCCTTCAAGATTGGGGAAAACCCCATATCTGTGATGGGTAGAATGTAGAATTAACTCCACTCTTCCCGGTTTTCCCTTACGATAATCATGACTAAAATCAACCACAAGTTTATTCTGCGCGAAACGCGGTGCTGGTGGTGTAAGACCGTGGATGTGTTGTCTGTTTCCGAGACCCACGATTCTGAGAATACCGGCGTCTCGTCAGACGGAACCGCCATGTTGAACACGTCCTTTGATAACCTCCTGGACTGCAGGCGACTCTTTGAGCCGTGGCCGGAATACAAGGTCTGAGTCTATCCCTCTTTTCTCAATTCCCCGCACTCTCAGCCTTCAGAGCGAGGCTAGTAAAATGGATTTTAAGCTAATTTGAGACAACCTTACTCATCAACGGGCGCCTGTTGTCTCAGCAGAGAGCTTCATGGGAAATCGCAGATATAGCCCACCTATTAATCCCGCACGTCTGTATCGCAATGCTTATTTTTTTTGTCCAATCGGTCAAATAGCCTGCCCCCTTCTCCAATCTTCCGAGTAGCAGGCCGGCATTGCTCAAGAAGCTGCCTTTTCCTTCAGGCCAGTAAGTACTTCTCTCTGCTTTCGTACTCGCTCCTCCAGCTGTCTAATCTCCGCTTCCTGCTCCTCCACGGACCGTGACATATCAGGCAACGACTGCACAGCAGCACGCGCCTTTTGGATACGGATCTTGATGGCTGAGGCTTCGGCCGCTAACTGATGCGGTTCGAGGGGCGGCTGGTCTGCATACTCGCCGGCCGCGGCGGCGGCGGTAGTGGTGGTAGGCGGAGCGAGACGCGATAAAAGTGCGTGCAGAGGCGGGAGGATGTCGAATGTTTGCGGAGGAGGAAGACGAGAGGATGGCGCAGTGGAAGGGGAGGTTGGTGCGGATGAGGATGGAGGGGCTGCCATTTTTTATTGGATTAGGATATAGGAGTGTGAGAGATTGAAGAGGGTGGATGAGGATAGTTGTTGATATGCCTGGTGAGAGGACTGTTGTCGTGCGAGGGTGCGTAGGAGCAAGCCTGTATTGTGTGTATAGACACAGCTTCGTTTAAAGCTCTAACTACTCCGGTAGGCGAACCGCGATGAATGTAATAGTGATTATGGTGGGAAGTCACGACACATGCAAAGGCAAGCGGAACAAGAAACTACAGAATTACAGAGATGCTCTGCAATTTAGATCAGAGATAGCTACGAGAATTTGAAGGTATTGCTTGGTCTACAAAAGACGTTGATGTCGAGAAGAGTTAGGTTATTACTGGCCTAGCACCGAGGCACGGTCAAAGGCAACAAACCGTCGATTGGGGTCCGATAGACGCGAGGCGTAACTGCTCTGGCGCAGACTGGTGCCTGAAGGAACAGGGGACAGGGGATGGAGGATGGCCAGAAGCCGTGGAAACAAAGGCGGATCTCATGTTTAGACAATCATACGGTCAGGGGAAGGATTGTCATTGGACAAATTAGTTTCCGGGGGCAAGTGGTGGACAGATCAAGAGACTTTTTTTTTTATCAGGACGAACGAAAGGTCAGATCATCCGTTGGTGACGTCGGTTGGAGAGAGAAAGAGAGAGACTTTTTCTCCCACTTTTTTTCCTTTTGGGAGGAGTGAGCTCAGCAGTGACTTTCGGTATCTACTTTAGCTAAGGTGCCTGACGGTAGGCAAGCTAAGGTACCTGGAGTTATGCGGTGTTTCTTGTCGCCGAAAGAGAGAAAAATGACCCCACCAACAATAATAAATCAGCCAAACTGCGAAACCACCCCACTTACCTCTATACTATACGGGCACTGACCACTATCATTTCTAGCCTCCAACAAATATCTCATCACCCCTCCTCCCCTTCTGCCTTTCTTCTTCTTCTTCTTCTTCTTTCCTCAACATCATACCCATTGTTCAATCTTTACTCATTTCTAGATTTCCTGAGATTGCTTGTTCCTCAAGATGGTTCAGGTTGATCAAAAGGCCGTTCTCAGTAGGTCCCTACTCATTTCCCTCGTTATTTGCGATCTCCGGCGACGACCGGGCTACCCCGCCAAGCTTCATTTCCAGCTTAGATGCCAGCAATGACTCAGTCAATCGACTGTAGATGTATCTGAATGGCACTTGGAATGAATTGATAATAATTTTGCGTCAATTGAATTGCGTTTGAGCTCGAAGAATACACCAGCTAACGTGTTTTCACCATTAAGTCGTCATTGACGGTTGGGGTCTTCCCAGCGAGAAGTCCCCCAAGGAGGGCGATGCCATTGCCGCGGCTGAGACCCCCTACATGGATGGCTTCAAGGCTGCCGATTCCAAGACTGCCCAGGGCTACACCGAGCTCGAGGCTTCGTCGCTCGCTGTCGGTCTCCCGGAGGGTCTGATGGGCAACAGTGAGGTCGGTCACTTGAACATCGGTGCTGGCCGTGTCGTCTGGCAGGATGTAAGTCGCAACAAAATCAGCTCCCACGAGGTACGCAGGAATTGACGAGGCTGTTTCCCTACAGGTTGTCAGAATCGACCAGACCCTCAAGAAGGGTGAGCTCAACAAGGTCGACAAGATCGTTGAGTCCTTTACTCGCGCCAAGAACGGCAACGGCCGTCTGCACCTGCTCGGTCTCGTGTCCGACGGTGGTGTCGTAAGTTTTTTTCCTTGTCCCTTGGATTGGGCATATCATGATGAATTAATTTGGGTGACTGACCTTTATGAAATTACAGCACGCCCACATTAAGCACCTCATCGGTCTCCTCAAGGTCGCCAAGGAGATTGGCGTCCCCAAGGTCTTCATCCACTTCTTCGGTGATGGCCGTGACACCGACCCCAAGTCCGCCGCCGGCTACATGCAGCAGCTCTTGGACGCGACCAAGGAGATCGGCATTGGAGAGATTGCTACTGTTGTTGGCCGTTACTACATTATGGACCGTGACAAGCGCTGGGACCGTGTTGAGTTCGGTCTGAAGGGTATCGTCTCCGGCGAGGGTGAGGAGAGCTCCGACCCCGTTGCCACCATCGAGGAGCGCTACGCCAAGGGCGAGAACGACGAGTTCTTGAAGCCCATCATTGTCGGCGGCAAGGAGCGCCGCGTTCAGGGTATGTTTGATTGCTTCCATTTGCGCCGAATGAGTGTACTAAAGGCATTTCCCAACAGACGACGACACACTCTTCTTCTTCAACTACCGTTCTGACCGTGTCCGTGAGGTCACTCAGCTCCTTGGTGGTTTCGACACCTCCCCCAAGCCTGACTTCCCCTACCCCAAGAATGTCCAGCTCACCACCATGACCCGCTACAAGGGCGACTACCCCTACCCCGTTGCTTTTGAGCCGCAGGCCATGGGCAACGTGCTCGCTGAGTGGCTCGGCAAGCAGGACGTCAAGCAGTGCCACGTTGCCGAGACGGAGAAGTACGCTCACGTTACCTTCTTCTTCAACGGTGGTGTTGAGAAGCAGTTCCCTGGTGAGGACCGTGACATGATCCCCTCGCCCAGGGTTGCCACCTACGATCTCGACCCCAAGATGAGCGCTGCCGGTGTCGGCGAGAAGGTCTGCGAGCGCATGGCCGAGCACAAGTGGGAGTTCATCATGAACAACTTTGCTCCTCCCGACATGGTTGGCCACACTGGTGTCTACGAGGCCGCCATCAAGGGTGTCACCGCTACCGACAAGGCCATTGGCGAGATTTACGAGCAGTGCAAGAAGGAGGGCTACGTTCTCTTCATCACTGCCGACCATGGGTGAGTTCTTCCTTTTTTTTTTTTTTTTCCCCTCCCCTTTTACTCTCGAATGGTGTTTCTGACAGACTCTTAGTAACGCCGAGGAAATGATCAACGACATTGGCAAGCCCAAGACCTCGCACACCACCAACAAGGTTCCCTTGGTCATGGCCAACGCTCCCGCCGGCTGGTCGCTGAAGAAGTCCGACGGTGTCCTTGGTGACGTTGCTCCGACTCTCCTTGCTGCCATGGGTCTTGAGCAGCCCAAGGAGATGACTGGCAAGAGCCTGCTGGTCAAGTCTTAGACCACTAGATTCTCCATCTAACCTGTGTCATGACGATGATGATGATACCTATATGAATTGAAATTTTTCCCTTTTTTTCCCCCCCTACCTGATCATTTGTTACTCTACACTTCTCGTATATTCTTATTTCTCTTCCTCTCCTCAAACCTTGATGGCTAGACGATTTTGCGGCATGTGCTTTTTTTGCACACGTTTTTGATTCGTCTTCGTTTCTCCAAGAAAAAGATTGTACCTTGCTTGGATTTGCTTTTTTCTTTTTCTATTCCAAAGAAGAGTCTTGCAGTCGTCCTCTAGTAGATCGGATCAGGCGAATATTGTTTTGTCGAATCCTTGAATCCTTGGGACTTGACTCAGACTCAATTCCTGGGAGAAGAAAAGACGGGCTTTTGGTATCTTGAATTTGGATTGGAATAGAGGGCTTGAATCAACGGATTGCCGATAGACGTGGCCGTATCAGGTGTCCTTTTTTTATATCGATTTGCTCCCCTGGCCTCTTGGTGATGAACGAAGAGAGGGGATTAAAAAAGAGATTGGGGTTGGGTTTGCATGGTGTGCGGTATGTTATGGGGTGGTGTTGTCGGCTGTGAAGCGTCGGAGTTGAGGAGATGGTGTTGCGGATGGGCGGATGATGATGAGCATACTGTGATGAAGAGAAGAACCTTTTAAACAAGAGCAAGAAGAAGATAAAGAAGCGTGAAGAAAATAAAATAATAGATTGTTTCTTTTTACATGTTCTTGTTCCTGGCTAGTGCTCTGTACATTTTGTCTTCAAAGTGAAAGCCGAGTGACTCAATAATGGTGGATGATATTTGCAATGTGGTCTGTCCAGGCTAGATTATTTCCTGCTTCATGCTATACAACGCGGGTTATGCCGTGCCATGGCTGCACATAATCCCTACCTACCTTAGCTAAGGCCTCGGGGCGGAGCATTAATATAAGGGAAGTTACGAAGTGTCTTACACAATGACAAAAGAGTATATTGGATTGAATACACTCTTACGATACCGTGGTAGTGCTGGGTCCGGCCTCTCTCTCTCTCTCTCTCTCTGTGTGTGTGTGTGTATGTTCCTCGCTCTGCCTCACATATTCACATACACAAAGAAATACACTCATGCATGCATGCATAGCACGGTGTAATGACTGAACAACAAAATAGCGTACCATACTGTACTGTACTAGATTGTATTGGATTGCATTGGATTGTATTGGATTAACACTGGAATAACAAGACTATTTACTCATTGTATCAGACTATAGAGCATAAAGCACAATAATAGCGCGCGCTGATGCGTATGTATTTAATATCAACCCGTACGTACAGAAAGAAGTATAAAAAAAGGTAGAGGTTTTTGCAAAGAGAAACGTTTTTACATTTTTTCTGGAGGTGTAAAGTGGACAAAGTAGTATTTAGGAAGAGAGGCATTTTTTATGTAGGTGTTATGTATGATAAAAGAATATATGACTGAAGAGTAAAACAAAGAGGTTGAGGTAAGGAAAGAAGAAAAAAGAAAAAAAGGATAAAATAAGGAAAAATCAAGAAAGGAAAGGAAAGAAAAGGAAAAAGGGAAAAAGGCTAAAAACGCTGTGATGGAGGAATAGTTGTCAGGCTAAGCGTATGATTAAGGGTATAAGATTAGTTTGTAGTCTGTGCGAAGAGTTAAAAAAGAAAAAGAGGAAAAGAGAAAAGGTTAAGAGGGGATATTAGAGAGGGACCAAAAAACAGAAAAGAAAAGACAAGAAAAGAAAAGAAAAAAGAGATGAAACTCTGCAAGATAGAGACGGGAAAAAAAGACGCAGCTTGATTATGTAGAGAAGACGAGACGACTAAAGAAATGCAGAAAAGGAGGAAACAGAGATGAGAATAGGAAATTAGCTTTGGACAGTAGGTGGAGATTAGAGGAAAGGAAAAGGAAAAGGAAAAGAAGGTAGAGAGAGTAGAGACACGAAAGGGAAGGGAAGTGGGGAAAGGCAAGTAAAAGGAAAGAAGAGGAGTAAAAGACAACAGACGAAAAAGAAAGGTGAAGAAGAAGAGAAGAAAAGTACTGAATGAAATGGACTGATTAATGGAATGAGATCAAGCGGACAAACGGACAAGGGACAAAGGGACGAAGACGAAAAGATGAAGAGACAAATAGACAAGACACGAGACAAGTTGCCAATCTACCAGCACTTGAGCCGCTTCCAAAAGGAGCGTTTGGCGCGTTTGGCCTCTTCGGCTTCCCTGCGCTCGAAATAATCCCGCGAGAGGTAGCCAGTGCCCGAGCCGGTACCATAGCCGCTGCCATAGCCGGCGGAAGAGGTGCTGCCAGCGGCATTTCTAGGGCCGGGAGGGCCGGTGCCGGTTTCAGTGCCTGCAGAGTGTTGGTACGATTGTTGTTGCGAATGAAGGTATTGCGAGAGGGATTGATATTGCATACCTGCTTGACCTTCATCGTCATGCTGAGAATGTTGAGGGTGCTGATTATGCTCCCGGGCGTACTGCTCAGGATAGCGATCTTGCAAATGCTGCTGAGAAGCATGATCATCCTGGGAACGACCGTAGACTTGCTCCTGGTCATGTGCATCTTGCTGAGCCTGTTGATCGGCCATATATCGCTCTTGCAAGTATTCCTGGGAGGGAGGAACCCGAGGTGACCGAAAGAGTTTCTTGCCGGTGTTGGCTTTGGCCTTGAGCTTCTGTCTGAGCGACGAGGCATTGGCATTATTGGTGCTGGGTCCAGGCTGCGACGAGGAGGAAGAGGCAAAAGGTTCACTGTCTGCCGGCCGCACTGGACTGTAAATATTGATGTGATTGCGCGCATAGCCCTGAGGGTCTCTGCGGGCTTGCATCACCGCGCGGATAATATCTGCCGTATTTGTTAGTTTCAATTGTGAAGCAATAGAGGGGAGAAGGCCTAATGGAGGGAGGGTTTTAGACAACGTACGGGCAAAAGCCTCTTCGATGTTAATCATGTCTCGCGCACTGGTTTCCATAAAGTCGCATCCGTGCTCACGGGCCCAATGCTGAGCAGACTCCGCGCCGACACGGCGTTGCGTTTCGAGGTCGCACTTATTTCCAACAATAAGCTTGACTGGGGGAACCCCGCCGGTAGAGTCCCGGTGATCCGCCTCAATATCGACGAGGGGAATAAACTCATCAAGAGCTTCAAGAGATTGTTCGTTGGTAATGTCGTATACAAGAAGAAAGGCGTCAGAGGACTGAAGACTGGAAGAGGTCCAGAGCCCACGGTATTCTTCCTGTCCGGCGGTGTCGGTAATAGACAGCAAAATGGTACGGTTGTCAATGGTGCGAGTCACTGAGTATGAGTCCTCTTGATTGGAAGCGAAGAATCAGTCAAGTGAATAAAGCAGACAGCATGGACAAAAGGAAAAACAAAGACGGAACGAGGGTCAATCCTTTGCTTGTAAGAGAAGTATTGAACAAGGAGGGATTTCTTTGGTTCCAGGGTGAATGAAGCAAGACTACGAGTAGCTGGAAGGCCATGCAACCTACCAATAGTGGGGTCATATCTGTGAGATGATTAGCTTGAGTGAGATCAATGAGAAGAAAACTGTGAATGCCTACTCTTGAGTCCAAGCCCGGCGGACAAGGCGGAGCGTGATGGAGGATTTTCCTTTTGCAGCATTAGCATGTGTCAGATTGCATGATGTTGCTCAACAAACAATGACGGGGCGGAATTGAATGGGACAAGTTTGCAAAGTCAGAGAAACTCCATCAAACCACACAGACAGGGCACTTGAGAAACAATTAACGTGAGAGGTCAGGAACGTAGAAAAATCATACCGCATCCACCGTCACCACAGACAGTGATGGAGATGCTCTCAGCAGCATCCATTTGGGTAAAGAGCGTGAAGGTGGTCAAAGGAGTGACACTTGAGAGAATAAGAGAGAGACACAAGAGATTGTAGATGAAAGAGTGAAGAAAAATTCAGGATGAGATCAGGACTTGTTTGTTTTGACGCTAAAAATGAGAGCAGTGAATGATCTGAGGCTCAATCTAGAACGCGATATAAACACGCAAAAGGAGGGTGAATATCATCTGGCATTATGTACCCGCTCCCGCGGTTCTTTAATAGAACATTATATGCAAAGAATGAATTCTGCTAGATATATGCAAAAAAATAAGACAAGAATATACAAGAACAAAGAAATTCAGAACGCAACGATAAGTTTTCTGCACTGATTGTAATGAATGACACGGGATGTTGATTGGTTTGTCCCCGGGGCGGAGTTGATCGGAACTTTTTCTGCCACAATCTTCCGCCTTTGGGCCGTAGAAACACCAAATTTAATTATTTTGGCAACAGAAAAAACCACATTACGGTCTCTTGTCCCACAATCATACAGTGCTTGAGAATCTTATTGATAGACCATTTAATTTATCGCAGCTTATCCCTCACCATGGCGCCAGCCACTGCAAACCCTCCCATGACAACGGAGCAGCCCGACCCCGAAATGGCGGTGCAAATGATTCTATTGGCAGCAGCGCATCACGATCGCGAGACATTACGAACTCTTCTCCGACACGGTTCAGCAAACGTCCAGGATCCCGAGACAGGCGCTACGCCTCTGCACTGCGCGATTGCAGCATGCGCGCCGGAAAATTTGGCAGCAGGCGAAGAAGAGTCAAAAACCGAGCCGAAGAAGAACGAGCCAGAGCCACAAGGAGAGGAAGAAACTGAATTGGAAAAAGCCCAAAAGACCATTCGCTTGTTGTTACAAAATGGTGCTATCTGGAATGACCTTGACAATAACAATGAGACACCGGGATGTCTTGCGCTTCGACTAGGGCTCAAAGACATGTACGAGATGATTGTTGATGCCGGTGTACGAGCAGAGTTACTGCTCAACAGGCTGGACGATTACGAAGAACTTGGCGATGAAGACGAGGAAGAAGAAGAGGAGGAGGAGGAGGAAGATGTAGAGCACCAGGATGACGAGACCAAGGGCGAGAACGACGCTACAGAGTCCAAAACTCCGGAGCAAGAAACTACACAAGCTGCTCCTGCAGCTGAATCATCCGAGGCTACAGTAGACCTCAACAGCGAAGCATATCTGCAATCCAACCTCTCATTCACCTCCGACCGGATCCTGGACGAGGACAAGAATGGCGTCATGATGTCCTGGGAAACGGACATTATGAAACGATCTGCCGAACTCTTACTCCCCGGTCCTGGCCTGCGCGTGCTCAACGTCGGCCACGGAATGGGTATCATTGACGAACTCTTCCAATCCCACAAACCATCAGAGCATCACATTATTGAGGCGCACCCGGCTGTGCTCGAAAAATTGCGCAAGGAGGGATGGTACGAGAAGCCAGGAGTCACGATACACGAAGGCAAATGGCAGGATATACTCCCGAAAATGATTGAGGAGGGCGTCATGCTGGATGCAATTTACTTTGACACATTTGCCGAGGATTACAAGGCGCTCAGGGAATTCTTTACGGAATATGTTATTGGTGTCCTGGACCCACAAGGCGGCGTGGATGGAAGTGGTGGCCGCTGGAGCTTTTTCAATGGCCTTGGTGCGGATAGGCAGGTTTGCTATGATGTTTATACAAAGGTACGTCATTCTTTGTCTTTCCTTTCTCACCCACCTTTTTTTTCCCTTCCTTGAGCTACATGATTTGGGTGGTTTGACATTAATATAAGGTTCATTCTCTAGGTCGTTGAGATGGACATTTTCGAAGCAGGCTTCGATACGGAATGGGAAGATCTGGCTGTGCCGGATCTTGACCAAGCTGGCGAGTGGGATGGTGTTCGGAGACGGTATTGGGCGCTGAAGACATACCGGCTGCCTATTTGTAAATTTATGGGATAGACATTCATTTGTCTCTTTTTTAACTGCGATATTAGCAACCCCCAGAAAGATGAGGGGGACAGAGAAAAGCTATATTCGAAGAAGCAAACTTGGGGAAATTTTGGCTCAGATAAAAAACTATTTAAAGTACGTCTGCAAAACCGAATGGGGATATCCAGCGCAAGGAAACGAGCAGGAAAAATATAAAACGCTTTCTATATATTTTGGGTTATTGATTTGCCTTCTGCTTTTGCTGTTCCTTGTTTGGCCGCGCCTGGTCCTGGTCTTGCGCCTGCGCCTTCACCTTACCCTTATCCTGCAACTGCTTGCCCTCCTCTTTTCTCCCTTCATCTCCATTTTCATCTTCCTCATCTTCCTCCTTTTCTTCCTCATCCTCTTCGTCTTTATCATCCTCATCCTCGTCCTCTTCCCCATCCTCTTTCTCATCCTCATCCTCGTCCTCCTCATCCTCTTCTTCTTCACTTTCATCTTCACTTTCATCCTCTTCGTCGGTCCACCAGTCTTCCAGCAAATCGTTGCTCTCGTAACTGTGCGCATCCAGAACCTTTTTAGCCGACTCCGCTCCCGTGACAGGCAGGCGCTCTACTCCGCCCTTTCCTAGATTCGGATCCAGCAATCCAATCTGTAATAACACACTGGCTTGATCCCAATATACATGCTCATGATATAGCTTCCCGCCACGAATACACACAATACTGACGATCGCAATCTCAACATGTTTATTCGTGGGCGGTACTTCGGGCAGCATCCAGGGCATTTCTTCTGTATGATCGAATAAGAGGACCATTTCGTCGACTATTCTATCGACGCCCGTGGTGCGCGAGACGAGACGGAACTTGAGCGATGGTGGATTATCCTGCACGAAGAAATCCCGGTAAAAGCGCAATAAGTCGTCGGTCCCGATCCCGCCGGTCATGGTGGGAACGTGGTTAACGTATGCGTCAGGAACCATAGCAGCTACGGTAGATGAGGCATCCTTTTGGCGGAATTCATCTACAATGTGCCCGGAAAATTAGAGAAATATGAATTGCAGAGCTGAGTAAATTGGACATGTTCAAGGAACAAGACTTCATGAAGGCAAAAGAAACTCCAAAGAAAGAAGGGCCCCTCAAGAGATCAAAGATAACAAAGGGAGTCAAATCCAAATATTCAAGGGCAAGAGGGAAACTTACTGTTTAGGTGGCCTTCCCAGACACGCTCGAGATCAACCTCAATCTTGAATCCTTTCCGGATTTGACCCAGAGTCCTACTCCATGCCAGACTTGCCGAAACAGCGTCGAATTGAGGCTTGTTATGTTCTGCAAACCCATTCTGCACATGATAATACGTGTAGGATTTGCAATTGGTCACAGGCGGGTGCGGATTGGTAAGATGGATGAGCACAGGGAGACTGGGCGGATAGTTGGCATTTTTGGGCGGGAGAACCGGCGGATAATACGCAATCAGGGAGTTTAGCTTTGGCATGGGCTTGAGGTGTACTTGTAATGCATCTGCAGCGGCTACTCCAAATACTAATTGTAGCCATCGTATACATTTTCGCTGTTAGCAGCGTGCATCTTTTTGTTCTTTATTTTGCGATTTGTATGACGGTCCAGCACATTATTTAGCAACCGCAGCAAAACAACGTAAAAATGGATGGAAGTAAAAAAAAAGCAAAAAAGGAGAAAAGAATTGTCAGAGTCAAGAAGGAGCATTACCGACTAATGAATAGGTCTCTCCCAACTCCAAATCGTCTCCCAGAGCCTTCAACTCATTGGCATACTCTTTCCCTCCGCCCTCGTACGGTAGATATATGACGTCATAGCCCTCTTCCTCGAGGTGGTCCATCAACGTCTGGTCAAAGTCCTCCTCGGTAGCATCGGCGGCAATTACAAGCTTCGGGGGCATCTTGTTGAAACTGAGGAATCCTGAAATGGCAGCTGGTCGGACAGGAAGAGTTGTGGACTGCGCCATAGAACCTGTTTGATTCGCCCGGGCTGGAGACTGGGAAGTGGAGGTTGGAGCATGTGGAGTTGGGAGAGGCGGGACAATTGATTGGCCCAAATCTTGTTGTTTATCGATAAGCTTTCAACAAATGGTTACCCGGACATTTCAATTTCCCCGCTGCCAAATTTGCGAGTACGCTCGACGCGGTATAGTAATATCGAGTAATTGTCGCCTTGAATCCACTACATCGAGCAGACTATTTTGAAACTAATATATACAAAAATTAATATTTACTTCTTGAAATTGGGTTGAACAGTTTAAGCTATATTACATATAATACAAATATCATGGCGCCTCCCTCTCAGCTTTCCATCAAGACCTCTGCTGTCCTCCGCCTCGTTAAGGAAGAAGCAAGCTACCACAAAGAGCTCGAGCAGCAGCAGTCGAGAGTAGAGAAGCTCAAGTCTCAATCCAGCAATGACGAGAATGCAGAGTATCAGATCAAGCAGGAGGTAAATTTCTTTTTATGCTTATTCCCCCAATCTGTCAAGGAGGGAAGTGCTGATGCCGCACAGCTCAAAGCGATCGAGGAGACAAAGGCCGTATTCCCTTCGTTGAAGAAGCGCATTGCAGAGGCAGTTGATCAATTAGACAAGCAGCTGGTATGTCGACTTACGAGTGAAGCTTGAAAAGGCGAATCAACATGAATATTTTCATCGGACACAAGCTGATATCGCGGCCGTTTTACAGGAGTCTGAGAAAGAATCTGGCGAGTCGAGCCCCGTCGAGGATATCAACAAAGCAAAGGAAGCCATTGCAGAAGCTCGCGTGAGCATCCGGGAAGTTGCTTAAATGATGTCGGCTCTAATTTATGATTTCAAACCAAAATAAAAGAAAGAAAGCAAATGAAATGATATTACAGAGCAGATATATGTTTTCCAATCCCTCGCGTCGCTATGATATACGCCTTACGCCACCAATCTTTGATACGCCGATGAATCTTTATCTTCAGATTCTCCTTTCCTCTCTGCTTTCCCCCTTCTCATCACGTCATATCCATCCTATCCCCCGAATTTCCCTGGACATTGGTTTGCTTGTCCGGCGCTCCGTTTGGAAGTGTCCCAGAAGGAGCAGGCGTAGCAGGTGCTCCATTTTCTGTGATTTGGATCTGCGGCGTCGCTGTTCCTCCCGTAGTCTGCCCCTGATCCGCCATACTGACATCCTCTGTCTCCTGAGACTCTTGCATCTGAGCGTCCCGATCCCGATCAGTTGAAGGGGCACGACTACTTCCCCTCAGCGGCGCCTGACCAGGTGGGCTATGTTTATCCATAATCAATGCAGCGGGCGTCAAGCCTTCTCCATCTTGCGGCAGCGGAGTAAGCCCTTCGGCGTCGGGCTTGGGCGTGCCCACCGCACTGCTTCCTTCACCTTTTTGGGCGCCCACCTCCCCTTCCTCTCCTTCTTCTTGGTCTTCCATGCCTTCTCTTCTCTCTGCTTCTTCTTTCTCGTCCCTAATCATGCGTCTCAGCTGCATACCCTCCTCAATGATACGACCAAATTGCTCTCTTCGCTCCGCCCACGTCTGCGCATACTCGCGAGACTCTCGCTCCAGCTCAGCAATCTCGGCATTAAGTTTCGCAATGTTCGCATGCTGATCTTCTCTGGGCCGTAGCATGCGGTTACTCGTTATTTTCTCAGTGAGATCGTCGTAGGTTTTCCGCAGCGCAAGCGTTTTCTGCGCTTCTTCCAGCTGTTGGCGTAGCTCGGCCGTATTCTCTTTCACGGCTTGCGCAGTGGCCAGAATCTTCAGCTTCTCCTTTGCATAGCGCTCGCGCTCTTGCGCATTACTCGTAAGAAGAAATTGGGTCCGAATTATGCTGCTTTCGAATGCGGTAAAGTCTAATAGGACATCTTCTCGCCATTGACGGCGCTCTTCAAGTTGATTCTGTTTTTCCCGTTCCTGCGACGCCGCAGCCTCATCGGCTGCTGAGGCGTCTGGTGGCGGAGTGAGTGGAAATTTTGGCGGATTGTAAATTAGAGAATTGGGTGTTAGGAGACGTTTGGTTATTCGTTTGTATGGCTTCTCTTCGACGTTGAGAAGACGCGATTTATGGAGGCCATCTGTTTAAGTTGGGCACCGGGTTGTCAGCAAAATTGAGATCAAAAAATGAGGTCCAAGCATCGGCATACCTTCATCAGCCTGATCAAGCAGGGAATAGTCAGACATTATTGACTTGCGAAGGAGGGGTCTTCCCTGAACTGTATCAAGAAAAATAATAGCAAACCAATGGAAGAAGTGTCCCTCGGTCCAAATGCCTAGAAGACGGACATTATTGCCAAAGGTTGCCATCAAGGTCGCCCAAGTCGGCCGTATCGAATCTCCGGGTCATGCGTGCATAGCAACAATCAGTAACCGTACGGTACGTAATTGAATGTGAATGAGCTATCAAGTCTTGAGCATCCTGTTTACCTTTCAAACTCGTTCGCACCGAATTTTTGTTATGAAAAGTATTTGATCAGCACATATAGATTTTGCGCGGGTTCTTTGTCTCTTCATTTCAAGTCATTGGCTTAACCGCTTCTTTCATCATATCCCTTTCACGTGGGCGCCGATCACAGTCGAGCATACATAAAGACCAGCTGGGCGACTACTAGTTGATCTCAAGACTCGACTTCACCATTGCATTACCCCTTGACATATACTGTCGTTTTCTTCAGTTATTTGGGTAGATGGCTATGTCAGCGTGAATTCCACCTAGAATACCCTATTCTTATCCAGCACTTCACTACGTATCGCAATGCCTGCGGTAAGCTTATACCAGCTCGCCCGAAAGGCCTGCGTAAGAAACATTAATTGTAAGATGTTGTTCCCATACAGGAAGATTGCACGTGCTAACAGAATAAACTATACAGCTATACAAGATATCGGGGACATTCCATACGAATTGATTAGACCGGTTCTCATCAAGCTAGAGAACCCCGCGCAACTGGTATGGGCATTACGAATCTCCCGAGCATATCCTCCGAAAGAACGATTCCTGGCTTATAATTTATTTCTCAGCGCTCCATTGAAGAAAACTCTCCACAAATCTGTGGACACGACGCGGAGATATGGATGGAATTCATCAAGCGGGACGTTCCGCAATGGGAATCGAAACTCCATGAGCCCAAGAATCCAAAGAACTGGTATAAAGTCTACAAAGTAAGTTTTGCGTCCTCAAATAATTGTGGAGCATTCCTTTTCTCTCATCGCTAGCAAGATTACTAACGAATATGTAGAAATTACGAGACGAAAGCCAGGCTGAAGTCGAAAAAGATGCGGAAATGCTCAAAGCAGCTTTCGACGGCCTCAAGTCCGAAAAGGCCAAGCATACATCACGCGTGGTCGATCCTTCGTCGGTCCCCAGGCTACCGCGCGACAGGGGCATGCGTGTCGAAGGTGGCAGGGCAAAAGGCCCGGGTACTGTTCGAACTGGGAATCAATCACTTTTGAGCTTCGGCACAGGATCACGCACAAAAACAAACACTGGAAAGAGCGTTATGGAAAAGGCTCGTCGAGAAGCGCGCGAAATGTCGCTATTCAGTGTCCGCAAAAGTGTCCTCGCGACTCCGACCCACAGACTATCGGATAAAGCGACGCAAGTGAGGCACGTGCCGCGTGGGATGTTGGACGAGCATCGCCGGCCAACGACGCCTAGATACAATGACCCTTCAACTGCATCCGATGCTAAACCTGCTATGATCTATGCCCCACGTAGAGGCAGCGTTGCTCGATCGGGGGCGTCTGCTGGCGGCACGGGCATGACAAGTGAAGAGCGGGAGCGGAGATTAAGGGCTGTGGCGCAGGGAAAGCCCATCGAGAGTTCTGGCCCGCCTTCCGGCTCTGTGATATCTGCAAGCAACGTGAAGCCTTCCAGCGCTCTAGGAAACACTACGCGTCCATCTGACTCACGGCCTACCTTTCCGAGCTCTGCATACAAGGCACCACCTATTAGACCACCACCTCGTCCGCAAGGAGAGCCCATCGAGAGGAAGAGACCCTCCGTGAACCCCTTTATGCCAGCCAAAAAGCGTAGGCCTGCGTAAATGATTTGGCGATTCATATTGCATAGGTTTTAGGATAAGAGTCAGATGTTGCATTTATTCTGCCTATACCATGGCGTTTATGGATTTAGAGTTGAAAGGGAATACAATGCTGTTGGTTCGGCTTCTAGGAGTTGTCAAACACCCCATGAACATATCTCTTAAGCGTATAATTTGCAGACAACGTGTGGAAAACCCATTGATTTCCGAAGAGCATCAGTTCTTTTCATAGATTTTCACGGAAACTAATTCGAAATATGTATTGAAGAGACCGCGTGGTCAACCATATGTAGCCGAGAACGTAATGATGCAATCTCAACAACTCGCTGTAGCATAGGCTCCATCGCCAGTTGCTCGCTGCCACAGAAATGAAATAATGATATTCGTGGTCTCATCAACCCAAACGCCTTGGAAGACCCAGAGCCATAGCTAACTTATGGCGTCAGTTGAGCGGTCATGCTAGAATAGCCGAAACAGCACATGTGGATGCTAAGCCATGAGAACAAAATGGATATCATGAAGCTTTACTGGCCGCCACGGAGAGCGAGCACCAAGTGCAGCGTAGCGCCACCCTCAAGACCATACTCCTCTACAGTTTTATCATCCATCCTGAAATGCACGAGGACAAAGTCAGTTTTTGAACATGTAAACGTTCGTAAAGTATTTGCGGTACGCAAGGGGATAATGAGCTCTGACGCAGCCGCCAAACGGCCCGGAGTAGGTTAAGAACATAAAAATCTGAAGAGGCTGATAAACGCACATTTGTTTTCCGCCATAGATAAGTCGCTGTTGGACTGGGGGAATGCCCTCTTGCTCCTCGACCTTCTCCTTGACGTATGAGACCTATTGACGTGACAGATGCTAGGTCAGCCTGCTGTTATCAATTATAAAGCGCCGTCTGGCAGTTTCGCTGGTCGTACAGCAAAATGGGAGATGAAACCAGATAAGCCAGAATGCGAATATGATTTATTCTCGAGCTTGACATGCGAGAAACGGATCTGAAACCGAAGGTTTGGAAGAGTGGGATTCATTCGTACCTTGTGAGTCTTTTCGATGTCGTCAATGGCAATCTCTTTGCCGGTGAGGGTGCGAACGCTGTGAATTGTAAACGTATAATGTTAGCCTAACCCATGCTAGTTGCCTTTGTAAACTTCCGGGCTACTAGTAAACATTCTCATTGGCATAAGGAGCTTGGAGCAATCCCTCACAGATGCTCCACGAGCTCATCAGAGCTCGACCCCACGTACCCCGCCATGAGAAGCTCCTAGAGCAATCCGATGCCTGGATAAAGCTTGGAATATGACAAATGGAAAGAAAATGGGTTTTGGAATGAACTTACTTAAGGCGCATCTTGACAGGCTCGGGGGAAGGAGGAACTGGAAGCTTAGAGGTCTCGGGTTGTATTCCGGGCTCTTCGGCTGCTGGCACGGTCAAGTTATTCGTGACTAGATTGACGGCGGACTCTGAGCGAATACGCTGAGACCCTTGGCGACGGCGGAGGTGGCTCCTGCGGTGCACCGAAACACGACTGCCCATCTTGATAGATTAGCCGAGGTTCAGTGATGTTGATGCGGCAGGGTCAATCAAGCCAAGTACGCAGTTCGTTGGAGGCGAAGATCTGGCACAGAGTTGAGGAAGCTTGCCATAATGCAAAAAGGAGATCAAAGCGGCTGATCTCGAGTGAATGTGGGCGCTAATGGCCAGTACATCTTTCAATGACTCGAGTTTTATTAGATAGCTGGTCAACCCTTGTGATTGTAAAAGCTGCTCAATGCAGAGACCATCCAGCTCTCATTCAGCTCCTCTAAGTTTGATATACACCATATTACGTGCCATTGTAGCAGGTCAACAGCTGATGTAGTATACTAAATAAATATTCCAAATATCCCCCTGTAAGAACTATGCGTGATAAAATACCTGAGACCTAATTTAATACATGGAGGAGAAATCCTTTTGCTAAAGATTGGAGATTCTGCGCAACGCTGAAATTTCAACACCGTGAAGAAGGTGCAAGAAGAACATATTTTTTTAAACCCCACGATTGATTTATTTCTTCGCATTTGTAGCCTTTGACACATCATTGACGTTGAGGCCCAACACATCCGAATCAAGGTAGAGCTTGTTCCGGCCACCAGCCTCCTGGAGAATGCTGGCAATGGCGCGAGCGTTCTCGATCCGCTTAAGGTCGACGTATGTCGTGGAGTGCTTAATCGCATCTCCAATGAGTTGTGCTGAACGAGCCTCACCCTGGGCACGGACAACCATGGCTTGCTTCTCTTGCCGTGCCTTGTCAACCAGGAAGGCAGCACGCTGAGCTTCTTGTTGTGCCACCTGCTTTGCCTCGACGGCAGCAGTGAACTCAGGGGAGAAAGCGAGGTGCTTTACGATCTAGTTAGCAATTTATAACAGCATGGGAATTAGGTCCTCAACATACAGTGAGCGAAACGTCGTCCAACATGATGTTGAACCGGGCAGCTCTTCGGACGAGGTTGTCCCTCACGAGCCGACTAACACTTTCTCGCTGCGTAATCAATTGGCTAGCATTGAATTGCGCCACGACGCTCTTCAGCACTTCGTTGACGATAGAAGGAAGCACTCTTTCATCGTAGTCTGTGCCTAGGGTCCGGTAAATCTGAGGCAGAGCATCGACTCGCGGCCTTGACAACACACGGCAGGTAATGTTGACCATCTGCAGATCTTTCGTGCCAGTAAGGGAGGCAACATTGCGAGGCTTTGCACGAACATCATAGGTAATGGGGGTTTCGAACCATGGGATGCGGAAATGCGTTCCTAAATTGCATCAGTTGGAGGACTTTTGTAAGCATGAAAAGAAAAGGACCTACCCTCATTGTAAATCTCCTTCTTGACACCCCCTGCTCTTGTGTACTTAATAGCACGGTGACCACCATCGACTGTGTCAAACTGTTGTCAGCATTGCTATTCAACTTTGGAAGACCCACGCGCCGCCACGGGAGGGATAGCTCATGAGAGCTCCTAGTTCCCTCGAGATCGTACATACCGTTGAACAAGGCATTGTTTGCAACAACCACGGCACCACCAAGGAGAACCAATCCACCAATTCCAGCGAAAAAGCTCTTGGGAGGACCGCCTCCAAATCCACGCTTGCCTTGCTGTTGAGCAGTCTGCAAGGTCTGCTGGAGCTTCGCCCAAGTCTCACGAGGATCTCTCGCCATCGTTTTTCACAGTGGAGGCTCAACAGCCACAGGTACCAAACTTCTTGGTTTATTCGACTGTCGTCTTATGACCGCGCCGTTGATCGAGGAGGAAGTATCGAGTTTGATGACTTGTGAGGTGCTTGCGGGCGATGGAGAAGGCATCATTACTGCGAATGGTATCACTAGTCTATTTTGCCCCGGTCGGCTAAGTCACCAATCACAGCGTATCGCTCCCGCGAAGCTCTGGGGTTGCTTTACAATTGGCATCAATGCGTCGATTCAGCCTTTGAGGATTGTTTTATAGGGCGCCAGCTCCTTTTAGAACCTTATACATCCCGCTTAAACGCTGTACAGGCCTTCATTTCGAAGGCTTCTGAGTCTCTCAAGAACCCTTTGTAGGCATCATGCCTCTTGATAAAGAAAAGGCCGGAAGGGTCATCTTTATTGGCAACATACCATATGGTAATTCGACATTTGAATGTCTTCTCTACACTGAGCACTAACTTTGAAAGGGTTGAGCGAGGAACAAATCATTCATACATTCAGCACTGTCGGTCAGGTCTTGGGATTCAGATTGATTCATGACAAAGACACCGGCCAGCCAAAAGGCTTTGGATTCGCCGAGTTCTCCGACGCGGATGCCGCCGCTTCGGCCGTTCGCAACCTCAATGACTACGAAATAATGGGTCGCAAGTTGAGGGTGGACTTTTCACGGCCGGATGGACAGGATGACGATGCGGCTCCCGCAGGATATACTCCTCAATTCCCACCAATCCCCAACGGTGCGAGTCTATCCGGACCTCCCCCGCCTCCTCCACAGACCGCCATCCTTCCCCCACTACCGCCTGGAGTAGATCTCGCACCGAACCTCACTTGCCCTGATGCTATTTCGAGAACTCTTTCAACGCTTCCGCCGACTCAGCTACTGGACATTCTCACTCAGATGAAGTCACTTGTCATGGCCGATCCTACCAAGGCGACGGAGCTACTTAAACAGGCACCCCAGTTGAGCTACGCCATTTTCCAAGCTCTACTTCTCATGGGCCTTGTGGATACGCAAGCACTTGCATCAGTTGTGGAGCAGCCTCCAGCGCAGCAGTCTACCCCCCAACCTGTTCAAGCTGCTCAGTTCCCGCCCCCACCGCCTGTGCCTCAGTTTCCTGGAGCCCAGCAGTTTCAGCCTTTTCCCCAAAGCTATTCGCCTTTCCCGCCGGTGTCTGGTCCAGCACAGGTCGCTACTCCGCCCTTGCAAAATCAGGCGTTTCCGCCACCCCCACCTGCTCTAGCCGCATTTCCACCTGAGCAGAAGGCTTTGATACAGCAGGTTTTGTCAATGACGCCAGATCAACTCCAGGCATTGCCTCCTCTTGAACGTGCTCAGATCATGCAGCTACGACAACAACTGATGGGCGTGCCCAGTTGAACTGGGTTTTCTGAGAGCATAACGGTCATAGTCATTTCCTTTCTCGCTTTATTCTACCAATGGGGCTCTCCAGGGATTCTCGATTATCCGCGCCTTCCTTCCATTTTCTTATCCGGACATCAGCATTACTTTAATTAGGCGTTGTAACGGGGCGCTGGATTCATTTAATCGGTCGTGGTACATTCAGCATGCATTCGAAAAGGGTGAATTCCGGAATTTTTGAAGTTCGGGCACATAAATGTGAATAGATCTCCTATGAGGTCACGCCATTGAGCTATATCAGTTTTAAAATGGTTTGGGCATTTGTCGCCCTCTTTAAGAGTTGCTTTAAACCAATTTTTATTTTTATTTTTATTTATTTTTTCAATGTTTGAGAAACTTTTTGCTTGCGGTATTTTTATATCAGATGCGCCATTTTGAAGCTTCTTACAAAGCTCAAACACTATGTTTATCATATTATAAAACAAGCTTCCCTCATCACTTAGAAAAAAACCCCGTCTTGAGACGCCATCTTATTTCTTGCAAAAGTGTCATTTCGTTTTCTCTTTGCGATGATTTTTCAAACGAGTCGATATCAACGTTGCAGAATGTCCGCAATGCCGGCAAGGGATAAAGTCATTATCGTTGTGATTGGAGGGGTTACCTGAAGGGTAAGTCATTTGGTACGCGTGGTCTGTTCACTTACCGATGCAAGTCATCCTCCAATGAAAACACCATTGAAGGACGATGCAGGCGAGACGACCTTTCACGAAGCTGGTGAAATGATGATGAGCATCCATTCGACTAAATTTGCGTCGAGCCGTGACCAGCAGCAGCATTTCAGCTGCGTACAACTCAGGATCCGAGAGGCGGCTCGGACCGTGGTTGGCTACATTCGAGTCAATCTCCGTTGGCGTCCCAGCCTCCACCTGCTCCCTCCCCGGCTAGTGACCCGATCGCCTTCACCGACTCACCCTTCACCCAACCACAACACAGCATGGGGGAAACCTCACTACCACGCCCCCCATGCACTTCTTGCCGCTTTCTTTTCCCTTTTGCCTTCGATCGATCTCTTCATCGCCAACCACTCTTCCTTTCATTTTTGCATGAACTTTTCTAAAGTTTCCAAAATCTTTGACGATTTTATGATTTGGCTTTGCATATACCCTCACTGTATTTGAGCATGACGATTGACGAATCTCCATTCGCGCATACATGACTTGATGTTGTTTACCCTTTTTGTGTATCATGTCGCAGCTCGCTCATGATTTGCAATAGACATGATCATTAGCGCTCAGAGATTTCCGTCACGATACACGCTTATGCCTTTTCATGTCTACTCATCACTTTAATTCATAATTTTATTTATCTGCAAGTATGTGGAGTCGATTGCTAGGAAGGTCTCCCTCAAGTAGGTCATTGCGCGACCGGGACGAAGAGATCTCGCAAGTCGGCAAGCGTTCGACACATTCATCCTCGAGACATCGCTCCGGATCCGTTGTCTCCTCGCCCTCTGCATATAAACCATCTCGCAGTGATGATCGCGGCCATAGTCGATCAGCCTCTGCCACTGTCCCACGATCGCGATCTAGCTATTATTCGCCAGAATCTCCATCAATTGCCTCTTACGCAACCGCTCCGAGCAATCGTGTTGACCGAGAGACCCGACGCGACAGGTCCTCTTCTGGCCTCTCGAAGAATACGTCGCGAATTGAGTCTCGCGGTGGATCTTATTATGCAGTAAGAAGTGCCAAGAGCGGACGGCGCTCGGAGCGTTCTCCAAGCCGCGAGCGGAGACAGCATCGACGTGAACGTTCAAGAAGTCCGGCTCGAATACAGGAGTTGCAGTGGCAGAGCCGAGATAGACTTAAAAGAGGGCTAGGAGAGGATGACAGGGAACGCGGTATGAGCAGCATTGACTATGCCGAGAGCCGCGCACCTAATGCAGCGGGCTACGAATACATGACTGCGTACGAGGAACCAGCGGTGACCTCGTCGCCTGCTCAACAGAGCATTCCAGCTCCAAGTACACATACGTATTCACAATTATCATCGCATATAACCGACCAATTTCCTGGACAAGACCCCGCTCAATATGCCGCGCCCTATCGACCGCCGCTCAGTTTCGCCGAAGGTGGACCAGGTCTTGCGGCTGATTACTATGGTGATCATGGAGAATCTGTTGCTGAGCAGCCTGGTGTGAGACCACAGCCGCCCTCACTCATTGTTGGCGCCCAGCCTCACCTTCAGGCGGCATCCCCGTTGAGTGCGCCGCCTATAGAACCATCCGCTCTGGGAGGGGTCGGTGCTGCAGCAGATTTTTTCAATGACGGCGCCAATCTTCAAAGCTTGCGGCCAACGTCTTCAACGCCAGTATCGTCAAGCAACAGGCCGACAAGGCCATCCAAACCGACCCCTCCGAGTATGTCTGGCAGCGCAGCAGCCGCTCTGACAGGGAGCGCCGGATATGCCGCATCCAACCTTGCGCATTCTGCTAGCCATCACGCTGGGAGCAGTTCATTCAACGACGAAGTTTCCTATTCTCAAGGGCCAGCGCCGCCAAATATGTATTCCACAGTCTCCTCTGCCCCACCTGGTGCCAGTCCTACTGTCCATCATTCGTCATCCGCACCCGCGATCCCCACCCTAGGCGCCGCGGCGGCTGGAGCGGCCACAGGGTACTATCTGGGCCATCATTCATCACACAGTCACGGTAACTCTCAGTCTGGGATGAACGCCGCCGGCTATACCTCGACCTCGCAGCCATCGCAATCACAACCTGTCTATTCCGTCCCGGACGCTCAACGTCCTTCAAAACCTCCGCGGCCGGGACAGCTTTCATACGCGGCTACTACGCCGATTTATGGCAGTACCGCTCTTGGAATGGCAGGGTCTGCCGGTTCTGGAAATGTCGCATTGAACGGCTATAGCCATGGCGCAATGGCATTGCAGACTCGGCGAAAGGGGCCGTTGGAAAAGTTTGTAGAGTTCTGGAAGGACAGGGAGGGAGTTGCGCAGTATGAGGAATATACCGAATACATCGGTGTATGCAAAGATTGTTTTGAGCCTGGAACAACTGCCAGAGATGCTCCACGCAAGCATCACTACCGCAGACGGAAATCCAATGATCGGCCTGGGAGCCGCGGAAAGGTGGACAAAGAGAGGCGTTACGGATTATCCGATAGCGAACAATCACGGAGGGGGAAAAAATCTTCTCTGGCCGCTGGACTTGCTGGTTATGGGCTCGGCCAAGCGAGTCAGACTTTTGCAAAGCAAAAGCGGGGTTTTGAGGATACTTATAGTGTGAGATCAGGAAAGAGAACAGAGTCTGCAGCATTTCCCTCCAGTGACAGCCGCTATGGGTCTCAGCCAAGGCGGGATTCATCCCAATCCTATGGTTTTTATGCCCCTATCGGTAGTAACTCCCCTCAGAGACATCGCTCACGGAGCAGGTCCCCAGATCGGAGAAATAGAGTTTTGCAGTCCGGCGTTGCTGCAGACTTTCCTCCCTCGGTTCCCGGAGCCTTCGACAGCAATGATTCCTCTTATCCCACATCGCGCCGAGAGTACGTGCGATCAAACCGCCAAAGCCCTTCCCGTATGTCTGGTCTTGCGTCTTTGTTTGGCCTTGCAAGCTCCAAAGCCTCTCGAAACAGGCGTCATCGATCTCCCACGCCGGATTCAAAGTATCTTAAGAAGTCCCAAGCTGCAGGAATCGTTGAAGGATCGGTCACTAAACCCTTCTCGCGCCCAGGGCGCTCCAGAAAATCAAAAAGTTTCTTCAATTTTGGAAATTCATCATCATCGTCCTCGGCGTCTTCTTCCTCAGCAGACATGGGTCTGGCATATGGTGGCGGACTTTCAAAAAGTTCGAGACAAGGCCCACGTCATGCTAACAAAGCGTTTAATGATGATGCTGCAATGATTGGGCTCGGCGTAGCTGCAGCTTCAGTGCTCTCTAAGCGAGGAAAGAAGAACAAAGCAGATACTCGCGGTGACGTTCCTCGGAAAGGCAGTCAATTGTCTTCGTCGGATGACGCATGGGAATCCGTGTCCGAGGCGGAATCCTCCAGCGTCAGCTCGGCTCTTGCATTCGGTGGGGCCTCGGATTCCGGTAGTAACGGGCCTCGTCGCCATCGGAAGTCTTCTGATTCAGAGCGGTCTGGAATTTCAAATTGGAAGTGGATGTTTGGTGGTAAAAGACGGACGCCTTCTTCTGCATCTGTTGACCGTCCTGCCCAACGTCCTCCAAAAGCGGGTCCGATCGAACTTCGGGACAGTGCAAATTCGCCAACGGCTCCACCTCTCAATTATCGTCAGGGTGCTGTACCCAGTTATAATGCAAGAGTGCCAGATATGCAATATGTGGTACCTGTTCCAACTTCGGATCCATCGAGATTCGATGTTAGGCGGAGCGACTCAGTTATCTCTTCTCAAACAGTGAACCGAAGCGCGCGCCCCGAGCCTGTACCAATCCAGCATACTCAGCCAATTGTAGCTGTCGCACCAGAAAAGCTGTCCAATTTCGTTGAATCCACTTTGCAGGGCTCTACATATGAAGCACCAGAGTCTGCAACGACTGCGCCAACTATTCACAGGAAACCATACGTCGAATATCGAGCGACCGGCACAGAAAATCGAGAGCGAAGAACGCCGGTTGACCCATTTCAATACCTGGTACAAGACTCTGTTCCTGTTGAAAACGATCAGGAAGTCAAAGTTCCAACAACTCGACGTAGACGAGCTTCGTCGCCTACGTTTGGATCCACAGACAGAGATCTGGCCTCCGGACAACGGGCAGGAGTCGCTTCTTATAGCGACTTTCAGCCAAGAAGGGTAAAACCGGAAAGCAGAAAGCCTTCTCTGCAACGCTTCCAAAATAATGAGAAATCGCAGGGACGGAGGCAGAGCAGTGCAACGACAAGGACAAATGAGGTATTTGCAGCCCCTTTGGATGATGGAAACCCTCAGATTGTGGAGATTCGTCCCGGCAGGCAGAATGAACCACGGCACTCGAGCTCTGATACTCCTGTTTCAGTGAATGCAGCTCCTTCAAACCCTGGCCCATTCGTTTCATCAAAAGAAAACGAGTCCTCATCCGACTCCAGGAGCCATGGGCAACCGCAGGTGGAACTTGAACAATTCAGACCCGAAGCATCCCCTGAAGGCGAATCGCCTAGGAGCGAATACGCTCGTTCAAGCCGTCATCCAGGGGATTACGTTCCGGATTATCACCCACTCTCGGATCGCGAAGCGCAAGCTTACGTAGATTCAGTCATGGATAAGTACAATGAGGAGCCACAACCAGTGGCAGCATATTTCGCACCGCCGGAGCTGCTGTCTAGGAAGTCAGACTCTCCTCAATCCCCTGATCCAAACGGCGACTCCAATGTTACTTCATCTCGGGTGCCGCAGATTGTAACCATAGCTCCCCCTGTCGATCATGAAAATGACAACGATGCGTTACAACATGCCCAATTTGCTGGAAGCTATCCCTACGGCGCTTTGCCTTGGATTGTCCCTAGGTTGAATTTGATCGAACCTTCTCCTCCTCCGAGCACCATCGGTTCAACGAGGGATGACAGATCAGCGCCTATCTCTCCAGTAGAGACGAAACCAAACAGTTCAACTGGTCCTGAGAAGTCATCGGAATCCAGGGTCAGCTGGGGAGATCTACAGACGAAAGAATACATTGTAGAATCCTCGGAGGAGGAACCGCAGAAGGATGATGGCGATTACCATGGACATTCATCTAACCAGTCTACGGACGAGAGCCCTGAAATTCATGCACACGAGTATGAAAGCCATCCAGTACCAGAATCGTCTTCTTCTGGCGACCTTCCTCAACACGTCCCCGGAGCTTTCGGCGAAGATGTTGAATTTGCTGCAACTGTTGCTGCTGGACTAGAAGATAGCGGGTTCGATCCTGCTATCGTCATTGATGACAATAATTTTAGACACCGCAAATCCCCCCCAGCATCGCATGACTTTCGGTTCTACCATGCTCCTTACGCGGAGACTGTGACAGACCTTGGCCTTGACTCTCCAGGTACTGAAGGAGCTCCGCCAAGAGTCGGTTATGTTGAGGGAGAGGTGGAAACACCTGGCACCGTCACCCCTGTAGAAACCAAGATGCATCCCAAAGAAATTTCGCGATCCCCCTCTCCAACCGAGGAAGAAAGAGCCGGCTCATCTGCGCGGCAGCTTGGAGCTGAGAGGGAGGGGGATGAATTTGATCGTGACTCGGATCGTGATTCTTCGGATCCTGAGCGTAAAGTTCGCGAAATAAGGCCGGACGTGTCCACTTCATCGGACAAAGGCGCTTTCGAACCCGGTATCGAGTCTCAAATCTTTGAGAACGAGAAAGCTCAAAGACATCGAAATAGAAACGCTCAAGAATTCGAGGCACAAATTAGTGATTCCCCTGTTTACGAAACTCGTTCAGAAGTTGGAAAGCCGCCATCAAATTCGAAAGGCTCGACAAGCCTAAGACGCCGTAGCTGGGGCCCTGAAACTCAAACAGCTAAATCGCAGCGCTCAAGATCACAAGATTCGAGCCCTAGAGAGTTGGGACGCTCGAACGAAAGGTTCGATGATACCCCAGGCTTTGACATGCAAATAGGGACTCGGAGATCTAGTAGCTCTGACATTGGTGTCAACCCTCGGAGCAGCGGTTCGCAATCTATCGTCTCCATTCCTAGCAATGCATTTGACGATGTGGAAGAATTGGCGGACGTGAAGCGGCCCAGGAAGACCAAGAGAGCTAGTAGCCGTTTCGGGCATAGAGTTCCTGGCTCTCCGCTAAGATCGGAACTTGCATTTCGAGATGATTCGTCTGGCAGCGAGCAAGACGCCGGGGAGCCTAATGACCTGGTGCGAGACGCTGTTGTTGATGATACCGAGTTTACAGCGCAAGTGCCGTTGCCTCACGAACTCGACGAGGACGCTGAAGAGCTCTCAGGCTCCACTGTAAGAGAGCCCGAGGCGGACGTTGCTAGTGCAGTATTTAAGAGACGAGGATCTTTTTCGTCGTGGGGAGAAGCGCAAGACCAACCTTTCGAGGCTCCGGAAGAGGACAAGTTTTATGGGTGGAGTGATGAGGAGCTTTCGAAACCACGGAAGCGGAGTTCCCATCGTAGCCGCTCTCGTGGCAAGATGGAGGATGAATCAAGACTGGACGGAAGTAGATCTTCCAGAGCTAGTGAGAGGCCGGATTCCTCAGCATCCGTACATCGCTCCAGGTCGCGTGGCTCAAATCTTGAAGAGAGCAGCGAACGGACACATAGAAAGAGACGCTCACGACGATCAAGCGACGTCTTCGGCTCACCGAAACCACTTACTCGGTCAATGTCAATGTCTGAAACGGAACACAGGGGTCATGATGACTCTCACGGGTCCAAGCGAAAATCGAAGCGCTCAAGTTTAGATTACAATGATCTCGCTTCTGTCACATCGTTACCGGCAAGACTAGATGATGACAAGGGCAGTAAACGGGAGAAGAGGGGGGGGCTTTTCTCTTTCCTCACTGGAAGGCGCTCAGTGGACTCGCTGCCCGCTCTCGAACGATCACGAGAAATCCGTAGCGAGGAGTTGAAGCCAAAGAGCAAGCGGGGATCAAAAGAAGAAGAAATTGGCCGTGATCCCTACGATATTGGTGATGATGCCGCCCGCTCCGCGACCAGTCTTCCCGAGTTGAGCCAGAAGCCCTCCCTTGAAGAGGAAAGCCGGGAGTCAAGCAGTGCCAGTGGGAAAAAGAAGAAGAAGAAAAAGCACCGCCATAGTAGCGACATAGGTACAGGTACGACCACCTCCCAAAAGCAGGCTTCCAAGGTATTTAGACAGCCTCCTTTTCCTCGGATCTTCCGTTATCGCATAGGCACATCGCTAACATTATTCCAGGAACAAAATCCTCTAGGCGCTGAATTGCCGCTAGGAGGGATGAATAAAGGAAAATTTTCAGACATTGATGTCAACGAACTTCCTTCCTTGCCAGGTAGCCTTGCGTCGTCACCTGCCCCTGTCGTAGATCAATCTCTTGCCCTCTATTCTGAAGATGAGCCTGTACCACAGCCGACCTCTACCCCAGTAGACCATGAAGCCCTCCCTGAAACATTGCCACACCAAGTCGCTGAAGGAGGACAGCCTCCACCCGCATCCTCTCCTAGCAGAGAAATCCAAACCGCATTAGTTGCGGACGCGCAACGTGAAGAGGAACAAATCTTCCCTTCTTTACCTGCGAGCAGGAGCACATCTCCCATAGCGGTTGGCAGTGTGAAGGACCTCCCTTCACTTCCTGCTAGTCGTCCGACATCCCCAATCGACGTTGGAAGCGTCAAGGACCTTCCATATTTGCCTGAGAGCAACCCCACCTCTCCAATTGAGGTAGGACATACGTGCGATCTGCCATCTTTGCCTGCCACCCGTTCAACGTCTCCCGTCGAGGTTGGACGTGCGAGTGACCTTCCCGCTTTGCCACAAAGCAGACCAAACTCTCCTATAGCTGTGGGATCTGCTACAGATCTGCCAAGTCTTCCTCCAACTGTCCCCACTTCTCCAATTGAAGTTGGACACCGGAGCGATCTGCCGTCACTGCCAGGTACTAGACCAACTTCACCCATAGAGGTCGGGCATCCAGAGGACCTACCTTCCTTACCTAACAGTAGCCCTACTTCTCCCATCGAAGTCGGACATACTGCCGACCTGCCAGATCTGCCGGATACTCGATCAGCTTCTCCCATTGAAGCTGAGCACACGAAGGATCTTCCACAGCTGTTAACAACCCAGTCATACTCGCCAACTGAAATAGATCAGGCAAAAGAGCTGCCATTCTCGTCTGAAAGCCGTCCTACTACGCCCATTGAAATGCAACAAGCTGCTGATCTATCTCCCACCACCGAGCATCGGCCCACGTCTCCCAATTCGAACGATCGGTTGAAGCTCCCAGCGAAAACGCCAGAACGTATTCAAGTACCAGGCTCGACGAGAAGCGCGGCATCGCCCACTGCAATCCCACTTCATTTTTCCTTTAGAAAAGGGCCACCGTCACCTGGTTTGACAAGAACCAATCTAGCTCCGACATCCCCTACACCTTCACAGACTGAACAGTTATCACCTACACGGTCTCGACACACTCGGCCGGGTTCAACAGAATTCAAGACCTCTACTGACGAGTTTCGCCCGCTCTATTTGGTCGAGCGCAATAGTTATAGAGCTGAAGACGAACCGACAGAAACCTACCCATCCCTCCCATCGAGTCGAACCTCCTCTCGAAGCACCTCTATCCACGATGCCCTTAGGAGATATGAACATAGCTGGGAAGAACCACACCACCAAACTGTCGAGGATTCAAGTGAAAAGGATGTCGCGACTCCTCTGGAACAGGCTCCTGAAGATCGAGATATAGCAAATTCTGAAGCATCTACGCCCAGAGCCCAGACGCCCATTGTGCAGCCAGAAATTGCCACGCAAGGACATGAACTTACAACGGCACAGGCCAGTCAAGTTGAAGCGCGGCCAGATCAAGACTCATCACTGCAGGCCCCGCCTGACGTTGCACCAGATCGGCTTGTCCACAGCGCTAGAGAAATATTTCCGGACCATGACTGGGAATCCAACCCCGAACCTCAGGCTCTGCCCGGAGGTTCGGATGGTCTGTCGCCGGCGGAAACCACTCCACCTGTTTCGACTGGTGAGCCCCGGCAGAATTTTCAGCCAAATTTACCTGAGGTGCCCTTCGATCACACCAGTGCAGATTCGAGAGAAGAGACAGCACAGACTTATTTGGCCGAGGATAAAGAAGGCAACGTTCCCCTTAATCTCCGGGAAAGTACTCCTGAAGACAGAGTCTCAGCTAGGGAAGGCTTATCTGAGGAAAGCACCTCATCCCCACCACACGATTCGGAAACTGCTCGAGAATTAGAAGCAGAAACTCCTGAAGACGATCCTAAAATTGTGAATGTGGTGGATCAAACCGAGCAACAACCTTCTTCAACTTCAAAGAAATCCAAAAAGAGCAAGAACAAAAAGAAGAAGAAGGGAGCTTCCACTAGTTCAACGCAAGCACAGACACCCGAACTGCAAAGTCCCATACCCGACCCGGGAGAGCATGTCGACGCATTAGAGCTAAAGGATGATCGACCTCTGGATATTAAAAGATTTACTGAAGAGGATGGACAAAGCCCCGATGAGCGTGTGCAGGTCACTGATTCCGCAGGGAATATTGAGTTTCAGGAACGCGAAGTACAAAAGATAGGGTCGGCGCATGAGCCGGAGGGTGGGGCTGTTGTAGAACAGCCCCAAGTGGAAGATCTTGGTCAAGAAACTGGTCCTGCGCTTGATGAGATTGCGACATTCACTGAGCCTGAGACGGCCGAGCAACCAAAAGAAGCGACGGTTGGCATTGTTGGAGATCCGTCAGTTCTAGATCCGAAAAGCGTCCCAGAAGCCGCTGCAATGAAAGAAGTGGAACTCAATTCACTGCAATCGGGAAAGTCGGAGGTAGATGCCAATGAGATCCAAGAGCAGCCTTTCGAAGCGCCGGCTGAACCGGCTTCCGATGCCAAGCTTAACAGATCCAAATCTAAGAAGGCCAAAAAGAAGCAGAAAATGAAGGCTCAGGCCGAGGAACGCGCCCTTACTGCCACGGTTGCTGATGCTCCTGCTGAAGACAAAGTTGATGTTGCAGAACTGGTCGAAGGCGAACCCAGTGACATGCCGGATTATAAAGGGTATCAGAGAGGCGCAGAAGTTGGTATTGAAGATTCGACAGCAGAGCTCTCTGGACAAGGACAACCTAAGGAACTTCAGGGTGAAGAACAACAGCCATTACTCGAGGAAGAAGCCGCTAATGCGACCACCCACAAGCTACTGACTTCAGTTGAGGGGGCGGAAAGCGTAAGGGAGCCGATCGAAGAAGCTCCCCATGAAGATCAAGTTGCCGAGTCTCAGGAAGAAAAGTTCACGCCTCAAGCTATTCAAGAGCTTTCTGAGGGAGTCGACGCGGATTTACCTAAGGATGGGATAGAAGACCCGGATGCCGTTGATGTTGATTTTCCTCAGAGACCAGGCCCTTCTGTCCCAAGCACATCGCCATCGATTGCGGAACTAAGTCAACTTGAAGGGCCGATCTCTGGCGGCGAAGCTGAACAGATCCTATCGAGTGAAGAGCAGACTGTAAATTTGGAAGCTGATAGCGATGTCAAAAGGCCAGCAGGTTCGGCCGGATCTCCCGAAGCACCCCAAGAAGCTCCAGAAAGGGTCGAAGTAGTGAACGAAGAAGAGATAGACTCTTCTTCATCACGTAAGAAGAAGAAGAAAGATCGTCAAAAGAAGAAGAAATCTCAAGCGAAATCTGAGGAGCTCTCAGAAAAAGCTCAAGAAGACCTTGATAAGAAAGAAGCGGAAGTTGAGACAGCCGTTGGGACGTCGCAAGAACAAAAATTTACCACCGAGCTTACCAAGTCGCTCCAACCAGAAGGTCTGGAAGCAAGGTCTGAGACACCGACAAAAGGACCCGCAGAGCCAAAATCCGAAACTTTGAAATTGGAACAGCCGACTGTTTCAGATGAGGTGCCGTTTTCTGAAGCCAATATGTCTGCCACCTCTTCATCGAAAAAGAACAAGAAAAAGAAGAAGAAGGCGAAGAAGGATCTTCAAGAGGTTTCTGAAGCATCTGCGAGCCCAAGCGCCCCGAGTACTCCTATAATAGAAAAGGAAATCGCAGATACCGTGGACGAGGGGGCCCTGGAAGAAGAGCATAAGCACGACGTACCCAAACCGAAGACTGAAGTCGAGCCCGCAGAGATTGCCCATGCAGAAGAGCATGTTGCAGTATCTGATGTGCCAAACGATGAGTATGCCGATCAAAATCGGATGCTTGGAGAAGAAGTTCGTCCGGAAAATGTTCCCCTCCCTGCAACACAAAACGAAGACCTAGAGCTTGAGCCTGCACAAGTTGAAGACGAGCGTGAGAAGCTCACTGGCCACTCGGAAGTTCCACCCGCAACGGTGGATACTAGTCTCCCCCATTCAGCATCTCAACATCCAGAGAAAGAGATGCTATACGCAATTCCCACAGAGGAGCAATCACCAGTAGCTACATCTACTAAGCCCGTTCTCGAGAGCGAACCTGTATTTCCGGAGTCAGTAGTGTCAATACCCAACGACAGTTTCGATGAATCCCATGTTGACCAACGCCCTGAGGTTGTGCTCACTACAGATCAAACGGTGGAAAAGACGAAATCTCCTGCTCCTGAATCCATTCCGCTTCCAGAAGATGTTGAAGAGACGCGGCTTGACCGAGATCCATTGCCCCAACCAGCCGAAATGATTGAAAGCTTGGGCCAAGGAGAAGCTCCAACATCAGTTGCCACCGTGCCAATGCCTTTCCTTGAAAGAGACGATTCAAAATTTGACATCGAACGCTCTGCAGTAACAGAAACGTCAGAGGCAACCCCTAGAGAGGGCCCTGTGACCCCTCATAAGGACGATCCTCATAAGGATGCTTCGAACGAGCCGCTGTCAGAAATGCCAGGAGAGCGAAACGAAAGTCCTATTCCAGTGTCCCACGAATTTACTGACCACTTCGACCTTGAAAATTCACAAGATCCGAGTGCTTCTGAGCTAACCCCTGCACAAATGCACATAGCGGAATTGACAAACGATCCAAGTTCAATTATACAAGAACACGAGAAGTTGCATTCGACTGGCGAGCCCCTGGCAGACCCCGAACATGTCGAATATTCCCAAGCTAAGGAGTCATTGAACGAAAAAAATCTGCCGTCGGATCATGTCACATGGGATACCAGTGTCACTCGTGAACAAGTTCTCCCGCCGGAAAGGAATGCGGAATATCCTCTTGAATCTCCAATTGTTGAATACGGCAAAATAACAAGCCCTCCTGAGAAAAACTTTGCTGAGATTAAAGAAGGAGAAAGGGCCGAAGACGTGCCCCGTGTGGCTTCACCTGCAGCATCTTCTATCG